CAGTCTCCCCTCTTGCAGTGGCCAGTAAAATTTGTGCGCAGCTCATTGTGCAGCTATATTTAGCTACCTCAACAAAGTTTTTAATAACACTTGAGGCAGCAGATAAAAGCGAACGGAACAAGTCCTCCAACAACCCTTCACCTTTGGCCCCAGCGAGCCCTCAAACAGCTCCACACTCTCCGTCTCATTGGGGCGTTGTCGTTGTCGTTGTCGGCAATTTGCTCTGATTAGTATAAATAAGTAACAGTTAGTGACCCATTTTCTGCACGCCATTGAACCAGAAAAAGGCTTTAATGCCGCAGACAGGTATTTTCCCTTCTGACTCTGCATGTCTGTTTCTCTCTCTGTATGTGTGTGTGTGTGTGTGTGTGTGTGTGTGTGTGTGTGTGCTTATGTGAGTGTGCGCGTCTGTGTGTATCTATCATTAAGAGCAGCATCATCAGCGTCCGTCATCAAAAGTTTAACGGCATTGCTTCTGGCCTCTTTTTTAGTCAGCGTCTGACGCCAGTTTGTAATCATTAAACCAGCAACAAGGACAAACTGATACTACAACAACTCACACACACACACACACACACACACACACACACACACACACACACACTTAATTTCTTACGCCTGACCTGGTGAAAGCCATAAAATAATTTGTTTATTGCTGCGGTTTTTACTCCATTAAGAGCTTAAATTAATTGCAATAAATTTGGCCGAAAACAAGCCAAAGCCAAAACCCAATTTCCGAATACTTTTTAGACCCGCCATATGCTTTCTATTGGCCTGGATTTCATGATTTAAGAGCCGCAAAGCCACTAGCCACACATAAAGAGAAACAGAGAAACACTTAAATTAAATGCTTTCCCGAAACCATAAATCTGACTAATTATACCTTGTAACAGAGCTGAATGGAGTTGTTTGGGTTGACTGCTCAAAGTTTTGAACTATCGTAAATGTTTCTCCCAGGCGAATCATATCTGCCCTACTTCGAAAAGATTCTGCTTGCAGTTGAATAAAATTAATTTTAAAGTCAAATCCAGTTGTCGATTGTAGTAGTTGTAGTCGATTTATTGCTTGGCCAGCTTCTGAAGTGGCAAACAATTTGTTGTGGTCATAATTAATTGCTGGTATATGGCATGGTAGATAATTGAAAACAATTGCAGCTGCTTAAAGCCAAAATTGAAGCCACAAATGAGCTGACTCTGCCAAATTGTGAGCTGTTTGAATTGTCTGCTTTTGCTCATTATGAAAAAAGGTTGGGACTCTGCTATCAGCTCGCATCAGCAGCAATGTCCTCCAACTGCCAGTGCGATCAAGCGGAAGTAGTGTACATTTGACCCACACACACGCACACGCACACGCACACACACACACACACACACACACACACACACACACACACACGCACACACACACACACGCACACACTCTGATGGATGTCAGGACGTATCAATGTTGCTAACTTTTTGCGCGAGCTTCTTCTTCTTTCTTATGGCCAAGGGGGCTTTTGCACGCCAACTGCCAACTGCCAGCTGCCAGCTGCCATCTGCCAGCTTCCATCTCGGTTGCCCAGCGGAATTCGAGTCATTTTAATAAACTACATTCCTAGAAAGCTGGTCGAGCAATTGTATTCAAACGCTTGCCAAACGAGCGGCGGCTAATGAATATTTATAAATTTGCTGACCAGCAGCATTTAGGAGGAGTGCGTGCGCGAGGGGTGCAGTGGGGCTGTATGGGGGCAAAAGGATGTCTGACTCGCTGTCTAACTGGCTGACTGGCTGACTGACTGGCAACGTTATTCGTTGAGCACTTTCTGTCAGCTGTGGCCGCCTTCACATGCAGAAGTCGTGGTCGAGCCGGAGACAAGCGCATATGAACATATATACGGCAATGTTGGATGTTCTCTCCCCCTAATTCCATAAGTAGTTCTTGCTGTCTCTCTCTCTCTCTATGTCTATCTCCCTCTCTCTCCCTTTGTGTGGTACTTTGTATGCCATGTGAGTGTTTAAGCCATAGTACTCGACTCTTATGCTGTGCTGTGTGTTGCACACAAAGCATCTCTGAGTGCAGCTTCCTTATTGTTCAACATCTTGTTGCATTGCTTATTGCTGTTGTTGCTGTTGTTGGTGTTGGTGAAGTGACAAATGTGCTTTTGATGACATTTTGAATGCCGTCGTGTCGAGCAATGTTGTGCCTTGTATTATTAAAGAAGCTGTTTTCTTGTTATCAATAAATCGCTCGCAACCTGTTCACAATTTCAACAGATAAATATATATAAATGCCTGCTAACAAGCCAAAAATTGATTGTGTATAGAAGGGGGATCTTTGGTAGAACAAGAATCATATGCGTTATTTTTTTATTTCTATTTTTTTTTTGCTTGCCTGGGCACGCAGACAAAACAAAGCAAACAACAACACATCTTACACGCATCGTAAAAGTTTTAGACGCATCCTGGCAAACAAAACAAAAAAAAAAAAAAACAGAAAAAAACCAGAAAGAAAGCAGAAAGAAAGTAAAATGCCTCAAACCTCAAGCACAGAAAAGAAATGTCAACAACAGCCATATTTTCATTTTTTTATTTGTAAAATCTTTGGCCGTATATAAAATACAAAAAAACATTAATTCAAGTCCCGAGACTCGAGTTGCTTTAAAATGTAAAGCGAAACGGGGCCATGACAACAATGCAAAGTTCACTTTGGGACTTCACAATTGTTCTTGTTGTTTTTGTTGTTGTTGCACAGCTGGTGTCTTGTTCGCAATGTGGGCGTGTGTGTGTGTGTGTGTTGCCTGTGTATGGGTGTGGGTTCAGGCCTAGTAGATTTAATTAAAATTTTATATAGAAAAAGATGGCAAAGGTTGCGCTCAACTTTTGCTGTCAAGTGTTGCCTACTTTCCCTCACTGCGGCAAATTGAATTACGTCTTCCTCAATGCCCGGCCGCCATCTTTTGCCTTGCCATAAAAATCATTAAAATGAATCTCAATTTTAAAGACTGGCAGTTAACTATAATTGTAATTATTATTATGTGTTTATGAAGCACAAACTTTGTCGTGCCTAGAATAACAAAACAAAAGTTAGAAGAAAATTCAACAGATCTGCAGCCAGAAATGGAAATAGAAAATGCATTTAGAGCCACAAAACAATATCAAAAGTGAGAGAGTGCTTGACTCTGACTTACCCTTCAGCTAGTCTGTCTGCTAGTGAATAAATCAGTTTTATTTAAATATTAAACACTTCTAGACAACAAAAGGGCTTCTGCCACAAGCTGCTGCTCCTCACTCACATATTCTTGCACTGCAAAATGCTTATTTATATTCTGCAGCCTGACTATCATAATTTGCATATCCGCTTGCGAAGTTCTTATTATTTGCCAGGTTACTGCGGCTCTCTTGCATTCTTCCATCTGACATAGAAGACAAAAGCCACACACACACACACAGCTCTCGTTTGAAGTTGATGCCACAGCTTGTGTCGCCTGTTTTTCTAAATTTCCCCGAATTTGTTCAACAACAGTAATTGTCAATTGTAACAAGTTGTAAATTGGTTGCCTTTTGAGCAGCACTTGTGCGCTTTTTGTGTGGTTAATCGAAAAATGTCCTCACACTGCGTTTGATAGTCTTACGAACAGTATCGGAGATGCTCAGCCTGCTCAACTGACAGAGTTTCACGCTCAATCCGTGCACCTGATTGCAACAAATTTCATTTGCCAGCTAACATGATTATATCACGTTGCAATTGCAATTAGATAGCAGATGCTTCTATCTTTATCCAACCAGCTGCCTGCCTACCTACCCCGCCTGCCGCATCTGCTGCTCGTTGACAGACAGGCAACGGTCTAAGCTGCCACAGAGTGCTGTTGCATACAGTTGCCATCGTAAAGCTATCAGAGCCGTCGGGAAATACGTGCAAAAATTGCCCTATATTGGGCTTTAAAGGAACTTTGCTTCTATGTGCAGGTATATTGAATTACCTGCTGCACTTAGCCTGTGAATTGCATTGCAACACACACAAGCAGACGGACAAACAGTCAGACAGACAAACAGACAAATAGTCAGATAGTCAGAGAAAGAAAGCTGCTAAGGGCTGCTTAGCTCTCCTCTTGATGCACAAAGCACAAAGCATTTGCAATCGGTTGGTCTGCCTGCCACTTGCTATTTTCATTTTTTACACTCCTGTGCCACACACATATGAAAAAAAAACTATGCACTGCAATTATTATTTTTCATAACATACTTGCAAGCATATTTATTTAAAAGAAAACACTCTATTTAAAATGCATTAACATTTCAAATACAACAAGCTTGTCAAAAATAATTATACTTTTTAATTGAAAGCACTGCAAAAACGATTATCCCAAAAGATTCCGGCTAAGAGAACATTGCTGCATCTATGCATTTTGGCAGTTTGAAGTATTTGAAGTTTAAGCCATAGCACACAGTTGCAGGGTATGTGCAAGTCGACAAGCCTGTTAGCCGTTCTGCGAGTGCAGGTCCATCCTTTGGCCAATGTTGTTTTTGCGAAAGTATTGATGCGAACACGTACCCAGATTACGATTATAGCGATACACAAATACGCAGACAAACACACTCACACACACAGTACACACTCTCACACACACTCAGGCACACTCACACACACTCACACACACTGTACACACAGTGATTTACGGTATTTCTGAGTTTTGACTGCAGTTTGTGTGTGGCTAAAATGTTTGTGTATATGGGAAGAGATAACTCGACGGGTGGGCCGTAAAGTTGGTGGATAGGTTAACAGCTGGCCAAATTGTTGGTTGGATTTTGTTGTTGTTATTATTGCCGTTTATGCTGATTTTGGGCGGGCTGCCGATTTTGCAATTATCATAAAATAATAAACAAAAAGTCTAAAACACAAACAGACAATATGTAAACAGCGTGCGCATGAAAATTGAAATCTGTTTTGCCTTTGACTAAAAAACTTTACCCTTGGCGAGAATCAGTTTTAAAGCATCCGCTTTTCGTTTGCATTCACAGGCATTCACGGGCATTCACGTACGCATCTAGGATCTACTCCCCAGGCGGAAGCGGAAGTCAACTTTGACGGCGGAAGCTTAAGCTGTTTGTTATTAGGTGCAAGTGTTGCCGCCGCCAAGCGTAACAACAACAGCAGCAACAACAACAACAGCAGCAGCAACAATAACAGTAGCAATAAGAACAACAAAAACAAATTGATAGCGGAAGTCCGTCAGTCGAGTCGACTATAATGCCGAAATTCAAATTGAAGTGCAGCAGTGAAAACATAATGCAGCTGCATAGCAAACAATAACAACGCTTCAGCTACGAAAACAGGCCAATTCAATTCAATTCAAACAAAGTTGAAAATTTAGAGCGTCAACAAGAGTTGGAAAACATAACAGAAAACAGTGGACTTAACGCCAAGCGATTTACAAAAACACCTCGCCAGAAACCACAACACCAACAACACACCAGGAAGACAACAAATAGAATGGCGGACCTGGAACGCATACGACTCGTGCTGCTCGGCGGCGCTGGTGTCGGCAAGAGTTCCATTGTGAAGCGCTTCCTATTCAAGAGCTACACGGACAAATACCGCGCCACCGTCGAGGATCTCTATAATCGCGAATATGACCTCGGCGGCGTCACGTTAAAGGTAAGTGACACACACAGAGAGAGAGAGAGAGAGAGATAGAGAGAGATAGAGAGAGAGAGAGATGGAGAGGGTGACCATTAGAAAAGGAAATCTAAAGGGGCATCCACTTAGGTGCACTGTGTGTGTCTCTGTGTGCATTAGGCATGAGTTGAAGTGCATCTGCAGTTGCAGTAGCATATCCCAGTTGCCCCAGTTGTTTACAGCTCACCAACTTGACCCCTCCCACAACGAAGGATGCTGTTTGCCATACGGTTAACAAATTAAACAAACACTCAGCGAAAAACTCTACTCTGAGCTCAAGAATAAATGGAATATAATTCCTATAGCTGGGTCTTATATTTGGAAGCTTCATTCGCACTTAATTATTACGAAAATAATGAAATATACAACAACTTTAATACTTCATATTATGTTAATAAATTGCTTGGATTACTTGAACATTTATATACATTGCACATTTAGATCCTTTAAATGTCCTAGTTGTAAAGTTGTTGATTTTGATAACATCTGACAAACATTAAAATGCATAAATTGTACAAAGTCTTTTTAATTTGGTGAATACTGCTGTCGTTTGTTATTCAATTTACAGCTGCCATAATAATTTGTATTTTATGTGAGTACAAAATACCCTTATTCTTTGCCGAGTGCATTGAGTATATTATTTTCAATTTGTTTTTATTGCTCTTAGTCCAGTTAGTAACCAGAACATTTAACCAGTAATTTAAAGCAAGCGTAAAGTTTCCCATTGTCTGTTGTCCTCCTCCTCCGTTGACTGTTGCTCTCCGGGTGCACTTAAGTTGCACAGTTGCAGTTGAGTAACAGGGTTTATGACAGTGTACACGGCTGAGATGCAGATTGTGGATGCTGCCAAGAAATGCGAAGTGAGCAACTAATTAATTCAAAGCTGAGCCCCACCAAATTTTGATCGAATTAGTTAAGGGCAAATCGTTTCTGTGCCCAGTCAATTATATTCAAGTGGCCAAAGCCACTGATTTCATAATAAGCCCTACGGCGACATTTGTAAATGTATGTTTGCCATGTTATTAGCTTAATCAAATGCACACATATGTTTGTGAGTCCGTCTGTCTGTCTGCCTTTGATAATCATAATTAGAGAGATGGACGTAAAAGCCAAGGCCTAAACTAAAACTAAATATGAAAATCTGAACGAGATTGTTTTTGACAAAGCTATGGTAATTTAAAATATGGACACGCGTCTACAAGTTATATTTAAGGATAATGTTGAAAATATGTAAAAGATCAATACAACATTCCGATTACTAATGTTAATAACAGAAGATATCGATACTGCGCTCGATACCTTTACATTGAATAAATTCTTATTAGTCTAACCGCCAAACCTAGTGCATCACTTTTTGCCGCTTTAAAAACCCAACAGATAATTTACAGAGTTTTAAATGAATCTTCACATTCGCAATACATTACAAGTTAAACATTGTGACTGAAGCCCCGGCAAAAATGTATAAGACATTCAAGTGACTGAGCCGCAAATTGAGTATATCTAAAGTGAGTAAATTATAGGCAATTGGGTTAATACATAGTTTATCCTGCGGGCACTCTCACTCTCGCCACTCCACGTGAATGCAAATTCATATTTGAGTTTAACATGGGCTTTACTAGGGCTTAGACAAGTTGCCAGGCAAATGAGCAGTTAGACAGGATCCCTCATTAATCAAATTTACACGCTCTGCCTCAAAACTGTGGCAACAACAACTTATAAATTCGAGACTCAGGCGCACACATGTTATGGATATTATGCTGCTGTTATGTTGTGGTGGAGTTTATCTCCTGCCTGGCTGCCTAGCTGCCTGCCTGACTGCCTGCCCACCTGCCTGACTGCCTGCCCGCCAAAGCCAGCCCGCACTCATGTCTGACCAAGTTGCTTTGATGGCACATCATTCGGGGCATGGTGCACAAGCTGATTATTTGCTGCCTCGAAAGTTGGCCGTAACACAACCACAGCATACAACGCAGAATCACCACAAAAGTTGTAACAGAAATTTGATTAATAGGTATGCAGCATCTATCCTTATCCTTCCGCTCTCTCTCTTTCTCAGCACTCAGCAAAAAGAAACGTCCTTCGGAAATACAGAAGTACATTTTTCTTTTAAATTAAATAGCTATATTATAAAATTAAATATGCATAAAGTGTTAAACTACTCAAAAGAATAAGCCCAATTCCCAAAATATTTCATTTCTAATCTTTAATTTATATTTTAAGCTGTACCATTAAAATTGATTATAATTAACTTACTCGTAATTTGGAATCGGTAGTTTTCTGTAATTTAATACAAGGAATTATGGTTCATCTAATTGTAGACATTTTTAAGTTTTTTTAAGTGTATCAATTTTTGCCTCTCTTTGCTCCTAGCTGCCAGCCAAGACGCACGACAAATTGATGTTGACTGAACTGCGTTGAGGTGGTGGCAATGGCGACATTGACACCCTTGGTGGTGGCGACGTCTTCGTCGCTGTTGGCGTCTACCATCATCGACAATGTCATCATCGCTTAAATTTTTGTTTTAATTAATTTCATTTTAACGCTCGATACCCTGACCAAATGCCTGAGGCCACAGCGGTGACTCTGTGGCTCTTTCGCTCTTTGTCTGCAACTAATACTTCTTTTTTTAGTTGAAAACTGAACCCAAATGCCACCCATTTGATTGAGTTTCTGCCAGCCGCAGGCATGAGTCCCTTAAGGCAGCTAACCAAAGTTAGCAAAACATTGCGTATACGTCACGTAGTTTGCCCGCTCATCAAACTCAATTAAATTCAAAACAGAATTCTCTATTAGAAGTACATGGGAAAAAAGTTCGCATTAAACAGATTGCTGCCTTTATTGTTGTTGTTGTTGTTGTTGCAACCTGCTGTGGCTGCAACCATCAAATGGTACATTACACGCCAGTACGACAAGAGCGTTTAACAGCGCGACCCTAATGACAATTCGTTGTACCAACACAGCTGGAACGTAAGCAAACAAAGCGGAAAGCCTTGGCCCAAAACATATATATTGGCTTTCATTGTCGTTGCGCATTTTCGCGCATTTTTAATAATGTTAGCCGGCGCGATCGCGAGCTGCAACAATGTGCCACAAATTGCCGAACAATGGCCTTCCATGCGAACAATGGCCAGGGGCAACCAGGTCCTGGCTGTGGCAGCTTACCGCCGTCGCCAAATGCTCTGCTTTGGTATTGTTGTTGACATTGTGGCTACTCTATCGTCCGTCTGCCTTTCTGTCTGTATCTCTGAGTGGGGAATACTATATTTATTTATACACGTAAAACAGATGCTGACTCTTGGGATTAGCTGGCATTAAGTGTGCATTGAACGGCAACCTTATCTGACTCCACATTCATTCCGCACCGCCCCAGTTCCCCTCTCTCTCTTTGTGTTTGTAAATCAGACTTTATTTGCTTGTGTGGGCTTGTGGGTTGTTAGTTGTCTCAATTTTTTGGGTGTCGCTGCCATTGCAAAATGTACGATGACCACTTCAATTTGAAATTTAATGGCAACTGGCAAATTTGCTTAACACACTTCTCGGCCAGGAGAGCTATGCAAAAATTCAAGTGTAGTTCTGTGGAAATAAACATGTCAATTGATCTGTGAGTGTGGAGAGAGTTGCCAATGAATGGGCATAATTCATACCAATTTCAGTTTTGACAATTTTAAATTCAAAAACAAATAACAGATATATGGTGATATTTCAAATGCGATATTGTGCAATATGTTATGTAAAAATTAATATAGGATTGTTGATTTAAGGATTAGTATTTTATTTAGATTCCTGTTCAATAATCGACATATTGGCCTTAACAAAGAGAAAAGAAAACAATCACAAATTTGCCACGAAGTTGATTAAATTATGTTGGAGAGTGTTTTCAATAAATGCCTAATGAATGTCAATTTTAAACTGAAAAAACAAGTAACAGATACATGATTGGGTTCAAATGCAATATATGAATGATGGTAGAGTCAGTTTTAAATTAAAACAGAATTGTTTCTTTAAATCTTTTAAAGTATCAGCATTTCATTTCGACTCCTATTCAACAATCAACACATCGACCTTGGCTAAGGCATGTTTATATTTACACTTAGTTTATTACAATGGCAATAAATCAAATGCGATTAGAGTGCAGTCCAATATTAAATTTCAGATTTTCCGATCAAGAGTATTTTATTTAGTTTTATTGCATTTGGATTCAGGCCACACAAGCATGAAATCAATTTATGAAGTGAATAAATTTTATACTGAAATACGTACTAACAATTTGAAGAAGGTTGCAATTCGCATTTAAATTTTGTGCTTTTGCGTCACGTCAAGTGTATAAAATATTCCTTTGGCCAGATGTGGTATTAAAATCGAACTGTTTATGGGCTTAGTGCAATATTGGAAATCATATTAAAATCGTAACCGTGGCGTATACGGGATATGTGGGCAAAGAAACACACACATACACACACACACATATATATCAAACTGGGAGGTATTGTATAATGTTAAGAGGGCTCCAGCTTGATCGCTTAAATTAAGCATTCGCCGCATCAGCCATGTAATACAATATGCTTTTCCATGTATTTTTGCTTTTGACATTTCGTATTTAATTATTCGCGGCTGCGTTGTGTTTTGTGTGTGGCAGCTTTTGAGCTTTGACTTGACTTTGCCCGTGTTTTTGCCCCTTGTTTGTTTGCGCAGGTGGACATTTTGGACACATCCGGTGACATGCAATTCCCCGCCATGCGACGCCTCTCCATTGCGACGGCCCATGCCTTCATGCTGGTCTATGCGACAACATCTGCGCCCAGTTTCCAGTGTGTGAAACAGTGCTTCGAGGAGATTCGCGAGCAGCGCGCCGACTTTCAGGTGGGTTTTCAAATTTCTTTCGTTCCCTCAGCATTTTGTTTTGCATTTTGCATGCAATTAGCACAGATGGAGGAAGCTTACAACAAAAACAAAAACAAAAACAAAAGCATATCTCGCATGTAACCCAATTTCAATGCCCCACAGCAATTAAAAATACAAAAGTGACAAAAAAAACAGCATATTGGCCATGACGAAGTTGAAATACCCTTGCACAACATTCAGGGATCAAATTCTGATTGAGTGATAATTATACCATGTACAGCAAGATGACGCAGATAGCCAAAGTTGCAGCAATTGAGAGATTGATAACAATTTTTCAACCTGAAATGGATCCTTTTCAACTTATCAATAAGTTGTACAGTTTTTGATCAAGAAAGTTATCCTTCAAATGAGGAAGAAAGTAAAAAGTGAGTCGACAAGAAACATGTTTTCATGTTTGTCAGACTTAATCTAGGAATATAATATTGGACTTTGATGATTGTTATACGTATTGTAGTTTAGTCAGCTTTATACTATAAGACTTGTCGACTTATCAGGAATATTTAAATATTTTATAATTCAATAACAACAAAATGAAAAGGACTTCTGCAAGGGTATACATAAATACAATTTTATCTAAAAGTCTTACTGGCGATGAATTTGAGTTTTATGCTGGCAGATTTTCCTTAAAAATCTTAATTGTTTTTGTTGTTAATGCCGCTGCTATTGTTGTTCCTGTTTAGTTTGGCCTTATATTTTTCGCTGTGGCATTGTTCGCGGGTGTCAATTATAGCAACGTCTTCTCTATCTGCCTGTTGGCCCGGCTCTCAATCCGCCTCCAGCAAGCTTTTGGCAGTAACAACAACAGCAGCAGCAGCAGCAGCAGCAGCTTAGTCTTTAGTTGAACTAATTCCTTATCTCTATTAACAGGATATACCCATTGTTATAGCCGGCAACAAAGCCGACTTGGCGACGACTCACAGGGAGGTGCGACAGGAGGAGGTCACAGATTGGGTTTTTTGCGAGCTGCCACGCCTCAGGTGAGTTTCGCACGCAATGTTCACTGATATTTTAATTATCCATTAAATGGCATTAAAGCCAAATAAATCCCAAATGTCAGTTAATGTAAATGCTGCAGTAAAAGCTGTAAAAGTCAGAACACAATTGCAATTAGGCCAAATTGCCAACAAATGACAAAGTTACGCAATGAAAATAAGCGGCACAGGAACCGCAAAGCAGCCATTTTTATAAGTAATGCCCAGGCAAAAAAGTGCAATAAAAATGGGCAATAAATTTTGCGCAGCTAAAACAAATGTGAGCAACAGCAAAATGGTCCGCTCCTTGTTGGCCCGAGCAGCAACAGCGGCAACAGCAACAGCAGCGGCAACAGCAGCAGCAGTTGCCGACAAACGCAATTAAATGCAACAAATGAAATTAAGCGACAAAAAGCGTGACTGCCAGCTATAAGGTTGCAACTGGGGGCCGATGTGGGCGTGTCAGCTACCAAAATCAGTTGAAAACTATGTTTTACAGCAATGCAATGAAACTGGCGAAAACTGCAAAAATTGGAGAGGAGGAAATAGTAAATACTCTATATATGTACACAGAATCCACCCTAATTGCCAATCAGCTGGGTCAGTTGGTGTCCCTTTCAAATTGAAATTGGTATCCTAGCTCCTTCCTAGTTCCTGCTGTCAAGGACGTTCCATGCACTTTGCACTCGCCATGCATGCTAAGCAGCTCACGACTGCAACAAGGATAAATCACATGTTTATTCATAAGACACATGCTGCTCTAATAGAGCACTTTTGAAGTGGATCTCTTCTCGACGGAGACTGCTGGGCACTTATTCAATATTTATCTGCCATGTGGGGGAGGCTTTTAAAAGTGTTGTTATACTCGTAGGTGAATCTACATCTAATGCTACTTTTTTATCACATTTGTATCGGTTGCATAACGACTTAAAGCGGCATCAACTGAACGCGGCACCTTCTTATCTCCGTCGTAAAAACCTCGATAGCTGTGTGGAGATCCCGATTCTCATTGTTCACCTGCAAATTGTATTACTTTAAATATGACATTTCTGGTATTTCCATCACGTATATGGAAACTTGAGCATCGTCAATATTCCGAGTGTGGGATAACTGTATCATATATAATGTCATTGGATGGGATGGGCCAAAAATTTCTACTTACTTCAGTTTGTCAAAGCTGAAACATTTTTCAAAATTCTGATGTGAAATTTGACAAACTTATGTTGAGTGTTACAAAGATATCTAGACAAAAATAGACTCAACTTTCCTTTGCTCCAAACAGTAGTCTAGACTAGGTATCCAATTACTTTAATTGTTTTTGCTTAAAGTTGGCATTGAATTACAGGGTATTTTGTTAACTAGATTTGGCAGTTGTGAATGTGTTTATTTTATTTATGCAATATTTGTTAATACAGTTGAATGGGAATTTGCGTGAAGAACTTTGCTTTCAAACCTGGGACGATTTAAAGTTGAATATCGGCTTTCATCGCTACTGCTTATTTATTTGCCGTGATAAACACACACAGAAAATAAGTAACTGCACGTTAATAAAAATCACTTACAGTCGCCGACATTGGGATGCAGATGGGGCAGGAGGCAGGGGGCAGGTGGTCTGGCTTTCCTGGATCTGGGCAATGTGTTGGGCGCAACTGCCATAATTTCAAGCGCCAGAGGCAGGCAGGCAGGCAGGCAGGCAAACAGGGACTGGGATGGGAGAGTTAAGAGGCGTGACTGGCTCGTGTTGCTGTTTAAGCAAGCGTGTGCAAACTTATTTAATAAAACATATTCACATGAAGGACAGGCACGAAACCAGAGAACTCACAATATATGCATATGTGTGGCTCTCCATACATATGTAGTATATATAAATATATGCAAATACATACAAATCTCTGCTGGATTAAACATTTAAGCAGATTGATGGTGCGGCGTGAACGCACCTTGAACTTTCTGCTGCTGTTTCCCCCAGCTGATTCAGACCCAGATCCTTCTTCGTTCTTCACCCCACTTGCCACACATTTCCACTTTACGTGCCAACCTGTGCACTTTTCTTTTTTAGCAAGCGGCGGTTTGAGCCTCTGCGGTTTGGTTGTGTTTCTGTTCGTGGCTCACTTAACATGTTGCAATTCGCAGCCTGCTGCAGTGTTGCATGGCAACAGCGTTGCAATTTGTTACCGCCTGTCTGTCTGTGGTTAAGCACATCTACACACATACGCACACACACCTGTGAAGTGTATTTATTTCAGCTGGCTTGCTTGCAATACTATGAATCGTTTACATTGTAAGTATTTCAAATTAAAATAACACGATTTATATTTTTGTCTTTCAGTTGAAAAGACTTTCAAAGTGTTGAAAATATGTAAAAGATCAATACAACATTCCGATTACTAATGTTAATAACAGAAGATATCGATACTGCGCTCGATACCTTTACATTGAATAAATTCTTCGTAGTCTAACCGCCAAACGTAGTGCATCACTTTTTGCCGCTTTAAAAACCCAACAAAAAGTAAACCGAATTGAACTTTACTTACACAGCTTGATTTAATCACTTTTGCGTTAACAATTCATATTGAAAATGCGACTTTGGCACTCAAAAGTAAATACCCGGTATAAGAAATATATTAATGTATTTCAGTCACGAAACGCATGCACAAGTTGCAATTTCAACTTGCAGCTTTCAGCTGCAATTGCTTTTGGCCCTCGGCCATTTGACTCTTGGCAAGCTGCCGTTGACAGTAAGCCGACAACTGGCCAACTTGCCGCAATAATTCGTGTCCGCAACGCTGCTCAAATTTATGATACGACTTATTTACCCATTTAAATGCTCCGTTAGCTGCTTGCAACTGGATATTGACTCCGTTTCCGATTCTCTTCGGCTCTCATGGCTATCATTCAATTTTTTTTTGCCCGAGACTCACAAGTCTCAAGTTTTTAAAATATATCTATGCGACTTGGGTAAAGGACAGATTGATTTAGAAGAGAGTCTGAAACTATAAATATCGTCTCAAAATGCGACTTTAATTTCTCGAGTGTTATTCTTTTAACGATTTTCCCTATTTGTGTCAATGACTTTGATTAAATTATATTCGCCAAAAGCATTCAGCTGAGTAAGAGTCGCCTTGTTTTAAATTTCAGTCAACGAACTTGGTCAAGACTTGACATGGACATTTTTTTGGCATACACGAAAGCGCTAACAGCGTTGCTGTTTGTGATGAGCATGCCACAAGCGTTGCCAAATTGAACATTTTCGTTGCATTTCGTTGCATACCCTGTGGTTATAGAAACCGAATTGGGTATGCTTTGAATGCTTGCGAATAGAGGAAACGAGTTAGAAATGCAGTTCGAAACAAGTATATGTAATCAATCATAGAAATAATATCTATGGGCTTTATAGAGATCATATCGTAGGGTATCTGCTAGTCTGTTGAACTAAAGTTGCTTTGAGTTTTAGTGTTTCGAGCTCTACATTTGTTTGCATATTCGTTATGTTTTCGTTGCTGTTGTTCTAAAAAAGTACTTTTTATATTCGTTTTTTTCTTCTGTTTTTTGCCGTGTCATGTTAATGTGCGTCATAATTTTAGGGTTGCCCCAAAAAACTCACGCATGACGTATACGTAATTTATGCGAACTGCCTCAGGCCCTAAACTTTGCCACACTTTATGCATAGTTTTGACACTAACCATTATTCGTGGAATTGTTTCCTTCTCTTCTTTGCAGGGCCAAAGTGCTTGAGTGCTCGGCAAAGGAGGACACCAATGTGACCGAACTATTCAAGACCCTGCTCTCCCTTTCCCGCTTCCTGCCCGCCAGCAGCGGCAACGGCGGACCAGGAGGCGCCAGCGGCGAGGCAGCGCCCAGTGGCTTCAAGCGCCGCTCCTCGGCGTATGTCAGCGCATCGTCCAGTCGCAGTAAGTATGACACAGATGGAATTTATGCCTTTCACATGTTCAAGGGGAGGTGAGGGAGGAGCATTCAAAAGTCCATTCTCAAATTGTTTGACTTGTTCTCAAGCTGAAAAGTGTAACTAAAATGAAAAGCATATGGGAGTGTTTTAGTCAAGAGAGCTCGGCCAGAAGATATCCAGCACTCCAATACTTTCTATATACGAGTATATACTATATTTTATTATCTATCCTTAATAATATTTTACTTTCCTTATGACTAAGCTACATGCGGTTAACAATTTTTGTCTGGATTTGCCCAATCCTTGTTGGACCATTTTACAGTCACCAACGGATTAATTATTTCCTTTATTTTATTATAATTATTTTCATTTTACGTTTGTATTTACTTTTATTTTGTTTAATTTTATTTGTAAATTTAAATTTAGACTTAACTCAATAAATAAATAATTTTATTTTTTAATTGTGCTATTTTAATCAATCTTGGTAAAATTCTTACTACTAAATTGAAAGCTTTTATCCTATTAAAGTATTAAGGAAATAAAAATGATATAAATTTAATTTGCGTTTAATATATTTACTTTACATATGTGGTCCATGCAGCTTCGATACTCGCTGAGATTGGGGTTGATACAGACTGATAAGACTAGATCGATTCCGATGTCATAGAACTCTATTTTCAAGTTTATAATTCATACCGGATGTAAATAGTAAATGCTGCAACTTTTGTCAGCCGGTAACTGTCAACGGAAATAATTTCACAACTCGTCCTTTGTGCTCGTTGTTGCAGTTGCAAATATCAAATTGCCACTTGATTGCAAAAATAAAAGCAGCGCCTGCGCCTGGCTGCATCCTGCCAGACAGAGACTGAGAATGCAAGAAAGAGAGAGAAAGTATCTTATAGATGCGGATATTATTATATCTCACCAGAAATCAACAGCAGCAGCAGCAGCTGCAGCTGCAGAAAAGAAACTGTCTTAAACAAATACAGAATTATAGGGATTTAAGGTGCAGGTGTAATCAAAAGTGTAATTAATACGAAATTAAAATACGATGCGTGGAAAGCCAGGGCAATAATTACAAATTATATATATGAATTTACTGCTACAGGTAAAATGAGTCGCTTTAATCCAAAAGCTTATCAATAATAGTATCAGCAGCAGGATGCGAATTTAAGTCTGATTCGGATGTAATTTTCAATTTGGCGTAATTAATGTATACAATTATGATTTAAATTCAGGATATTTACGGGACTTGTGTGCGCACCTGTTCTTGGCAAACATATCCTGTTGTACAGTTGACAATTCCGAGTTGGCACGAAATCAGCTTCTAATTAGTGGAAATTGAATTTCCCAGAACGTGTATAACGTTGACAAATTGTCGACAATTTGGCTAATTGAGTGTAATTAACATTCTTGTTAGCCCCGTCTTGACTTTGCCGTCTTCGTCTGCATTTGACCCAAATTAATTGTTAAAATTTGGCAACGAACATAAAAGAAAGAACAACAACAATTTGGTTAGGCCGAGTAATGGGATGAGAGTGGCACAAGACAAACCCTTTTCATTATTTGTATTTATACAATATCGTGCGGCAAGGCAATATACAAAAAGTGACGCAAGTAGGGAAACACAAATTATTAATAGCAAGCCAAAACAAAGAATTATAAATTCTGTTGGAAACTCAACTTTTTATTGTCCTTGCTGCAATTGCACAGCACAATTCAGATATGTGTTGTTGCTGCAAATATCTGGAAATTGAGATTTTAGCTTAGTCTCAATCACCATTCAGCTGACAAATAGTCGCTTAAGGGATTTCTCAAAATTTCAATCTACGAACTTGGTCAATACTTGACATTGAAGTTTTTGTGGCATACACAAAAACATTGAAAGCTTTGCTGTTGATGAGCATGCCACAAGCATGTGGCAAATTGAACATTTTCGTTGCATTTCCAATACCCTGTAATCATCGACACCGAATTGTATGGGCTTTGATTGCTTCCAAATGTTCAGTCTATTCCCCTATTGAATATATACATATTTATATATACTTACCCATCCCATGGCAATGAAAATATATTTCGGACAAAACTTCAATAGAAATTAAACATAATTGTAATATTATTTGAGTGTTATTCAATTGCTTCATCTTTTTGGAAAGTTAATCAAAAGTCAAACTGGCTGCGGCGCGTGTATTAATTTTAATTATGTAAATAGCTTGACCTTCTAATTACCGATAAGCGCATTTAATTTCCATTGGCCAGGTACATTATCTCATTAAAAAGTTCGTTTCCTGCACTTTGTTGCCAGAAGTTTTCAATATTTGAGAGCAGCGCCTGTTACCAATATAAATGAACAGTTAATTAATGTTGGCCAACTGCTGCCCCGTTGCTCTGCTGCTCCGCTGCTCTGCTGCTCTGCTGCTCCGCTGCTCTTTTGGCCCTCTCAGTCAAGCACTGTTAATGCTTGGTTGGGTTTAGTACAAAATAATGATTGTAATTTCCCTTCTTAAAAGTTATTAAGACAGCTCTTGGCCCCCGCCCACTTCCCTTTGCCAGTTTCCACAATAATTTAATTGTTTGCTGGCGGCATTTGATAAAATGTAAGTTATTATTTGAGCATGTCCGCACAGCAGAAGTCATTTAAATGAAGTGCAAAGTTGGCCGCCTTCAAACAGAGTGGAAATTAAATGCAATTTAAAGCTTTAATGGTCCTTTTTCCGCAGCCACAACAACAGCAAGGTTCAAGTGTGTGTGTGTGTGTGTGTGTTGCCAGCGAGCCTAAAATGCTGCTATACATTTTCTGTATACACACACACAGTCACACACATAAACACATACATACTCACAATCTTACACTTATTATATGTGAGTAATAAAGCGACAGACGGCAATTTGTAAATTACTTTTGGCCAAATAGAGGCAAGCATTGTCCGAGCAGACAACTACACACAACTGCCGCTGACAGCTGTGCGTGTGTGTGTGTGTGTCTATGTTTGTCTGAATAGCGAAGGTCGAACGTCGAATGGAAGCAAATACTTGTGACAACACAATTGACAAAGAGCCGTCAGCATTGATAGCGCTAAGTATTTGGCCAAGTCTCCCACCTTTCACTCACTGCCTCATTCGAGGCTCTTTCAAAACACCACCTTGTCTGGGGCATATATATGTATATATATAAATCCAAGTCCTTGACTTGCATTCGCCACTAAAAATAAGTCTGAGCAGTTAATCACGCATGACAACAACAACCATAAGTAATTGCCTTAAAAACATGGTGCACTTGTGAAAAAATCAACTTAAGGTTTAAAGTCAGAAATTCAACATTCGGATTTATTTTTTAATGTTAATATTTTGCCGTGTACATTTCTTGAACGCATATAGAATTATATATTAGATATATGTTTTGTATATTAACAAAAACAGACAAACATAATATAAACAAAGTGAACCCAAACAGCTCTTAAGATTCTTGGAAAGAAACTTTAAAAATTCTTCAGAAAAGTATTTCGTCGGATTCGAAATATAAATTTTATTAGTTCACTTAAAAAATTAAATAAATATTGTGCTTTAGAGAAAAACTACTTTACATAATAAAAATAATAATTATAGAAATGAACAAATGCCATAATTGAGATAACTTAAAAAATAATTGGCAATTGATGATAATTGAGGAAAACCGTGAATATATTTAAGATATTGGGACTTAAATTTATAATAATTTGTAATCAAATTATTATGTAACTATTATATTATAATAAGACTTCATTATTATTATTAGAAGAAGATAAGAAATAATATTAATGTGGCCAGTTACCTTTCTAGGCCACATATTTATCTCTGACTATGCGGCGCGTCATATGCAAACAATAAATCGTCCACATTTGGCTTGAAGGTGTCTTTGTTAATGTGTGTGTGTGTGTGCGCGTGTGTGTGTGTGTGTTTGTGTGTGTGTGTGTGTGTGTGGATGTGTGGATGTGTGGGTGTCTGACAACTCAATAGCCTAAACACGTGTGTCTATATGTACGTTCTTAGCTGATGGCGCATAAAAACTGGCTGGGAGCGAAAGCTGAAGAAGCAAGAGCGCTTGATGAAGGATTCGTACACAGCCAGAGCGGAAAGGAAGCGCGCCGTCACCGACTCCGTTCGTCCTGTCCCGCCCCAGCAGCCTTGTTGAGAACAGCCGCAGGGCTCGCGCAGTCAACAACGTTATGTGGTTGAGCTTTGTGGTTGCAGGACGTAGCAGACACCACAAGCAGTTTTATTTGCAGGCAGTCAACTGAAACCGTAACTCAATTGAAACTTCCACATGTGCGTCTGTAGTACGCATACGCCATGCTACATGCCACACGCCACACGCCACACATGCCGCACGGTTGCTGCGCATATTTGTATATCTCGGCTAGGCCAAATACTATTTAACAAAAAAATCTTAACAGTCAGCGAGCTGCTCATGTTTTGCGCCATTTGCACAGCCCAACGACGAAAAACCCATTGTGTAACCATAAGTAAAAGCAGAAAAAGAGGCAAACATAATGGAAATAGTTATCTTCAGGCTGCCGCATATTCTATGCACTTGTATACAGATTAAATTGGTTGAGCGACAGCTGCCTGTTATCTGCACTTGAGCAGAAATTGAGTCAATTAAATGCCAGGTAAACGGAAGTTTTACACTCAGCAAAAAGTTGTGTTATTGAAATTCTTAAATAATTATGTTCGATGGGTTTTTTATGTTGTCTATGTTCAACAGTTGGCAAATAAATATTTACCCAAAATATGCAACTAACATTATAATGGTATTCCATTTCCATGTTACTCGCGAGCTCAGGCAGTCTGTTGCAGATAGACACCTTGAATAATTTATGGGCCTGTAAGTCCAGCCATTCAATGTGTTACACACTTCCTGTGAAAATTAGAATAACCTCTGCTGGTGGTGGTGGTGGTGGTGGTGCTGGGCTTATGAAAATGAAAATGTAATTTAAATTTCCGTTTCGCTCAGTCCTCAAACACAGCCACATATGCACAATTATTGGGTGCGCCTCCTGGTACTGGTACTGCTACTGCTCGCATTACTTGCGTATTCCATCAATGTATATGCGAGTGTTTTTTTCTTTTTTTTTCAAACAATTTCGTATGCTCTATGTGTGAATGGGGGTTCCTTTTTGTGTGTTCTGCATCAGTAGCAGCGGCCACTGCGTAATATTCCTCCCCCCCAAAAAAAACCCAATACACACATACACATTACGCAATCGTTTCTCACTTTGGGTGTATGTTTGTTTGCTCTACACACACACACACACACACACACACACACAGTGTGCGGCCAAGCGACAAGTAACACTCGAGTTTTGCATGATTCTAGCAGTTTTGGGGCATTTCTCGCGCTCTTTGTGGCAAGTAACAATTGCGTCGTCAGCCATTTTGTTTGCAGTTGACACTGCACACACAAACACACATACTTACCCAGGCAATATAAAATGCAAATAACAACAACAACAAAACATTCTACACACAGAACAAATGCATTCCAATTGAGAAAATTGACTAAATTGCATCTTATATCTAGAATATATTTTTAGTCAAACATTTATTCCGCTCCGTTCGCTTTTGAAACGTTTTGCTGTCAATAGTTTTGTTTTTCTCAGTGTGTTCGATTCTCTTGAACTGATTAAATCGGGCCAGTAACAGCTTAAAAGATTTTCACAAGTTCTCTCTTAAATAGATTTTATAAAGTACTTAAAGCATCAATTTTTTATAGCCCTGCCTAAGTCCATATTTAATGGCTCTTTTTCAATTTCCTAGTTTGAATCAGTTGTTTATGCTCTGCTTTACGATAGGCACTTTTCTGCTTTAACGCGTCGCTGTGTCGTGTAAATCATCATTATGTTCGACTTCACCTTTTGTTTAGGTCGAAAGCGCTTTAAATCCATCAAAATCAGTTAATCAATATGCACAGTATAATCTAATCATTTGTGCACAGAGCTCATCCGTTTTCCAAGAATTTTGCCCACACACAAACAGGTACACACACACACACACAAACACACAAATTACACAATAAAAAAGGACTTGAAAGGATGTTAGACTATGTATAGAACACAATGAAGACATTATGTAATGTGAGTAAAATAGCTTACAATATAATGTTTTAGTGAAAAGGCGTTTACTGCAATTATGATTTCAAAGAAATATTTTCTATTCAACATTTGGCTGTAGTTAAAATTCAATTATATCAAATAAGTTCTGGCAAGTTTAGAATAATCTCTTAATTTGAAAAAGTTTTGTAATTAGCATTAAAAACCATTCGGTAAATAATAATAAAAAAAAAAGAGTTGTTTAGCCCCAACAATAATCTCCAATTAGTTAAAAGTTTTTGTTTGTATTTACTGTGCTGTATGCGCTTTAAAGCTTAAGCAATTTACTGATTTGCCTTTGGTTGCATGTTTCATGTTGCATCTGGAATGCAGCAGCGTCTACTCGGTCCATTCAAAGCATTTCAAAGAGTTGCATTCAATTACTCCGGTTTTGGCTTTGAAATGAAGAAGCCGTTTGAAGGGTAATTATGCTTCATGCGCCATGGAAACTATGCCTACATAATTGCGTGCTTGCCACACAGCCGCACATTTTGCGGCTCAATATCCACGGTTATTTCATTATTGCAGAGCAAATTTCGATTGGACTCTTTGCGTTGCTATTGCTGCCTTTGTTGGCTCCTCAGTGCTGTTGCTCTGGCAACTGTGAAGTAATTGGTAACTGCAGACAGTTTCACATTGCAGTGTTGCTGCCAAATTGGATTTTCGCTCTTATTCTGTAGTCACGTGTGGGAAATTCGGTAAATTCATCTCGCTGGCACAATATGTCATGCGTACTTCAACGTGCGGTGTTTGCGTTAAAATTTTAATTGAGAATAAATTAAAGAATATACATTTTTATTCCTTTCAACTCCTTGCAGATAAGAATCGCATGAACAGTCCTTCGGTGAGTGGCGATAAGAAGTCGAGTCTTGTGGATGCCGTCGATGTGGCCAGCACCAGTGCAGAGGCCAAGTTGAAGCCACGATCCAGGTGGGTATTGCATGGACTCATTGTATACACTCTGAAGAAAACTTGAGCAAGAATTAAAAACATATTAAGCAATGACTCCCAATACATTGTTCATTTGGAATTTATCAATTTTAGTTTGGTTTTTTTAAAATAGATTTCACGTATGCATTAAAAATAGCTTGGAACTTTGTTTTTAGATTTTTGAATATGTAAAACCTATTATAGTTTTTAAGGAAAGGCTTAGGCTCTATTGACGTCTATTTTTCTCTGTCTATAACATCCTTTTAGATCGCTCATACGCCGTGCATCACGGAAGACTAAGCAGCAAATCAACAACGCATCCGATGACTGTAATTTGCAGTAAATTGCTAACAAATAACTCTTAATAATAATATTAACATTATATATCAGACAATTAAAGATAATGCGTACCTAGTACTCATAACCAGCTGGTTGGTTGGTTAGAATTGTAAGCCAGCCCATATTTAACTGAGCTAATTATTCTGATTATATTTAATAATATAAGAATGTTGCTCAATGTAATGCAATTTCGATATGTTGTATAATGTTTTATCGGCATTAAGGTAATTACTAAATACATTTATCTGTTTGTTGGTTCGGGTTATCATCATTATTTGTAAATGCTTTAACGGGACCAGTTTTCTTTATAATCATTTTTATAAAATCTGAAACTCCTTGGAGTGTAATATTTCCAATAAATTGTATGTTTTTCCATCAGAAAGAATATGCAAACTTTGGCATCATCTCTTCCAGCAGATGAAGATTACTGTCATACCAATTTTATTTGGCCATAAACTTGCGTTACCATTAGATAGTAGATTGTTTACTTGGATGAGTAGGTGTCTGTCTGTGTGTGTGAGTGTCTGTGTGTGAGGGTGTGAATGTGTGTGGAACTTATAAAAATTTATGACAGTCTTAAGGCAATTCGAGGAGTCGAAATCATAGAGTTCCTTTGACGACAAATTAATAGCTCTGTTAGACTAAGTTAATCATATATTTTCATTTAAGCACAAGTATTCACTTCATAGTCGTAAGATGTAGATACATAAGTAAGTAACTATTTAGATGTGAAGAATGTTTAGCGTTAGAAATATTTAAATACAATGTATTCAAAATGTCTAAGTGTACACAATTTACTTAATTATTCGAGGTACGAAATCTGTGTGTAGTTACATTAGCTCAAGTCTCGTTTGCAACAGAACAACTTCGTTGTGCGGCAAGTTCTTTTGCCAGCAACACGAGGCACAAAGGTTGAATTTAAGCCAATGGCTGACAAGCGTTGACCTTGGTTAAGCCAACAAGCAAAACAATGTTTGAGCAATTTATGGAATTTTCTACTTTTATTTTTTCAACTTTTCTTTACTCGCACAAAATGCGAAAGGCAAATGCAAACGCTGCAGTTCAAATTAAAAGCACAACACAATTTATTATGCAAATTGAGCTCCTAATTAATGTTTGTACGTTGATGTACAAATGCTGCACATAGTTTGTGACTTAAGAAGGACTTGTGTTTTTTTACGGCCAAGCAAACAGATGTAAAGAATAATGTTTAAATGATATTCATGGATAATACAGGGTGCATGGTAATTGCCAAAATTAAGAGCCAATCAAATTATTATGAAGATGAACACATTTTTGCATTAAATATTAGATGTTAATTATAATTATGTAGTCACTCAAAGAGGCTTACAATTTTTGCCGTCATAATCAATAAATGTTTCTGAAGACAATTTGAAAAGTTAGCGCAGAGCTTTGATGTTAAACATTTTAGTTTTTTATTCGAATAGGAATTATTTTGGTATTAAATGAGATACAAGTGTTTGTTAAATGCTATTAAAGGATTCGCGCTACTTGACGGCGCTTTGTAAATGAACCAACAAATAAAAGGCAGATGCAAAGTGAATTGTGATGAAAATAATACATAAATATAATGAAAATATAATATTTAAAATAATGAATAGCTTGTAATTGGTTATGGGTAAACAGGAGAGTATGTTATATCTTTTGGATGGCTTGCATCGAGGACGTCCAGTAAAATATTTAGTATAAGGCATGATTAAGCAAATAAGTAATGATACTGATGATACTTCGTTTTATATGTAATACTTACATATGTTTATACATTGTTATTGAATGTAGTTAAATTATAACAAATCTAAACAACCCAAGCATCAAGTATTGACAACTATCTCTAATAAAGTATATCAGCGACAAATGGGAACACAATTTAACAGTTATATGTACTACTTCTTACTATATACTCCGTAATTGTTGTTGCGCAAAGATTACTAAATTATAGATTTTGTTTAAAAAAAAATGCAAAAGAAATTTTATGCATATATTTGTGTACGTAATTCGAATGTTCATAATGAAACTTAACTAGAAATAAACTAGAAAATCCCAAGACAAACAATGCCGAGTTACAGTTACTCACAATATCTACAACAAAGAAAAACATATGAAAAATGTACTTCATTTAAAAAATATCAAAACAAATCAAATAAAAAACTTACTAAATGTGTCCATTAAATTACTGAAACCAAAGTATTTTCTTTCATTGTTTTACATTATGGGTGGTTTTTGGGGTCTCAAATGACATATTTAGCAACTCATATCAAAGATTTACACTGAATACGAAATTACGCTTTGTAAACACAGACACTATTTAAATTGAAATTGAATTATTATTTCTATTCAATTCAGCGAAGATCCATATGAAAAAATACCTGTGCAGTTAATATGTCTATATAGAAAACATTCGCTTGCATAATTGCATTGAGCTAAAAAAAACACATCGATAATTGCCAGTAGTAAATCAATTCAACTAATCGCAAATACATTTTACACCCTTACAAACAGAAGAACTCCCCACCCCCCTCCGCGACTCCAACCAACCACAGTTCCATTAAAAGTGGCTAATGGCATTGCCCGTAAATTCCGCAATGTATGAAATGCAAATGGGAAATGCCAATGAATTTAAATCAATTGAACTTTGAATGCCAAATAGGTTACTAAACGCATCGGAAAGCGACGATTTATTTTCAGGAGACCACATTCAAAAATTAGCATATTGTATCCTATTTCATTGCACTCGCTACATATATGTGTTGGCGATACAATGAACAGCTTTGCCAGCGGTCTATTTAGTTGAAATTATGCGCATTACAAAATGCAATTTACTTTGGCATTGATTTTGCATTTAAGTAGCTTAAGTGATCTAATGCTCGAAATTAGTTTGCAATATTTGTGGCATACTTTTAAGATCACACACACGTGGTGAGGATTTATTTAAATTTGATTATAAAATGATTTATCAGAATAAATTCGCCAATTGTTACTTACAATTTATATGAAACTTTCAAATAATAACCGTCCGGTGCAGCATGCGCCATCTAGTGGCATTTACGAAAACTACGCTTGTGGGAAATATCATCTGGTCACAGCGGTATTTGGTATTATTTGGTGCTTTTTAATGCGTGCAAACAAATTTTTAAGTATGGCCTTAAAATACATCGGTAAGTACTATAAACATGAAGATTCTTTGCAAATTTGAGACAATCTGAATTCTTGCAGACATTGGGGCCAATCTAACGGATCCCATGTTTGTGGGCTGCTATGGTGGCTCCGCGAAACATCCGGCAGACTTGCACATTGTCTTGGAACGTGCGTGGCAACATGGCTTGCAGAAGCTCATAATAACCTCCGGTTGCGTGAGTGATGTGGACAAGGCACTAAATCTCACTGCAAAAGATGGCAAGTAGCAACACTCACCAAAAGTATTATATACTTAACTCCCCCTTGCAGAGCGCCTGTATACCACAGTGGGAGCACATCCCACGCGATGTGGTGAATTTGGGGACGATCCGGAGAAGTATTACATGGATTTGCGCTCCAGAATCATGGCGAATCCAGCGAAAGTAGTCGCTGTGGGCGAATGTGGCCTGGACTATGATCGTCTGCACTTCTGTGCGAAGCAAACGCAATTGAAATACTTTGAGAAGCAGCTCAGCTTGGCGGAAGAGTTTCGATTGCCGCTATTTTTGCACATGCGAAATGCGCACGAGGATTTCATGGCCATATTGGAGCGAAATCGAGAGAAGCTGCAGGCATGTGGTGGTGGTGTGGTTCACAGTTTTACGGGCACTCTAGAGGAGGCCAAGAACATACTGGCTTTCGGTGGACTGTACATAGGCCTTAACGGCTGCTCACTGAAGACGGAGGCGAATGTTGAAGTGGTGCGTCAGCTGCCCAATGATCGCATCATGCTCGAGACGGATTGCCCCTGGTGTGGCATACGCCCCTCGCATGCGAGTCACAAGCACGTGACCACAAAGTTTCCAACCGTCAAAAAGAAGGAGAAATGGACTGCTGAGACCTTGATCGATGGACGCAATGAACCATGCCAGATTGGGTGAGTGTTCAGCTTAGCCAATAAATAAATAATAAATTATAAATCGGATTACTGCACTTTCAGCCAAGTACTGGAGGCGATTGCGGGCATTAGACAGGAGCCCAAGGAGAAGCTGGCCGAGATTTACTATCAGAACACGTTAGATCTGTTCTTTAGCAAATCGAAATAAAACAAATTGTAGAGTGATAATACATTTCATGCTTTTACATTTATTGTATGTTGTTATTATTGTTTCTCATGTCCTAAATGCAAATGAATTCAAAAATACGCATTATAACTTGATCTTTGTATATGAATTAGTATTTTTTGTTTTGCACTAAACACACAGAAACACATTAAGATTAACATTTAGATTTGTAAATAATTGTTTTGTTTTTTTTTTAATTAACTTCATTTTTTGTTTGAGTATTTTGTATGTTTGTATGTGTATATATAGAGATCGCCAAAAAATATATATGTTTATGCTGCAATTTCTACATGAAGTACTCGTATGTAGGTATGCTTGTATGCTTTAAAGACTAGTGGAGTTTTTTGTAGCTTAGTTATTGCCCTCTTTTTGCCATTTCTTTTACTTTGTTTACGATAGACGCTTTGCAATAGACTAATAGATGCCAATATCAATATCATTTAAATAGTTATCCGATTACAATTGAAGCTTTAAAAAGCGTATATACAAAATATTTTGTAAATATTTAAAAAGTTTGTTAACTAGACAGAACTTTTCGAGTATATATCAAATATTAGAAATACCATTTGTGTATAGTATATAAATGCTATCAACAAGTTGCTGGGTATGTTTATTAATTCATATTTATATGTATTTAGTAAGAGCATACATTTAGATCTGCCATATTGCATTTAAAACCAAAATCTCTATAAAAATGATGTTAAAACTGTAGATATATATGTTTGTATGAATTCTTGTAGTTCTATGTATTTTTTCTTTAGTGTTTCGTAACTGATATGAAGGGAAATGATATTCAGTATACTAGATTTGTAGTTTAATTGAGAAACTGCTCTCTAGTCTACTCAGTTTGCATTTTAAATGACAATTTGTTTGTAGCACAATAAAAGATTCAGTCCAATTGAAATATTTTAGTTTAATGCTCTTTTGATATGAACCCGTTCATATAATATATAGCACACTACGTTAATGCAATAGATCCAGGAATCCTCTCTCTCTCTCTCTCTCTCTCTGAAGATACAGGTTAATGTTAATGTTCCAGTTGGACTTTAAAAAGTTCATATATCATCTACTTATGCGTGTTCTTACGTTCAAGTCTATATATGTATGTTGCATCCTATAGCTATGAGTATGTTTGTATGTATAGTTGTAAAAGTGTTTATTATGTTTAAATACTCAGACCCTTTAAATTGACTTGCATTTGCTGTTGGGATTACAAAAACCAAATATTAATAGAAATGATCAAACGCAAAAGAAATCTGTATAGATACGACAATTTCATTTATTATTAGTGTTGTATTGGTATTTAAATTAATATGATATTTACATAAACAAGAAGAAATTATAAATAATATTAAATAAAAGCGCAGCAACTAAGGATCAACTAACAATAAATTCGAGATTAAATTATAAATAATCCATGAAAGATTTGTATCCAATATTAATTCAATTGTCTTCCATTTTGTTGTTTACTTCTCACTTAACAAAAAGAATAACTTAAATCCAGTTGAATACATAATATTTATATAGATAAATAGATAGATTGGAAAGAGAATTGAAATGCCAATTAGTTTAACTTTTGCAACTAGAGATTATTCGAGAGCCCTTCTCAGATTTTCCAAACTGAGGCTTTTGATGTATATAGCAATTAATTAGTTATATTTTGTTTAGGCATATATTTATCAGTTATCATATGTGAGTGTGGGTGTGTAATTGTTGTTATATTGTATATACGTGAGTTTTTCTTAGTTTCAAACTAAACTCTGCGACCTGCAATCAAGCAGGCGACGCCGCCTCATAGTTATTTTTGTGGGATTAAAAATAAATAATATTCGCTTGCTAAATTAATGTATTCAATGTATTTTCGGGGCACTGCGATCGTTGATCTTCTGATTCCGTTTTAGATTCGCGCCTCGCTTTATTTGATCCATCAGCGACTCATGACAAATACGCGGATCCGGCTGCAAAATGTAGAGCACACAAATTACAAAATTAGAAATTTATTACAGCCATGAACTGATCGATAAGAAGCTTGGACATATTATAGTAGAATTGTATGCTATAATACATATGTAGTTAATGCTCAGCAACATTTCGGGATTAGATATATTGAAAAGAACACAAAAACGGAACAAACAATGTTGAAAATACCTTAACACTGCTCACCACAAGTGCTGCTTGTGTTGTTGCTGTTGTTGTTGGTGGTGTTGGTGTTGGTGTTGGGATAGGTGGGTGGTCTACGATATTGTGCACTGGGGCGCGATAGATTTTGTGGATTTTGATACATCTAAATGCACATTACACACATTTATATATTTATATTGAGATTGAGATTGAGGTGTGTGGGGCTGTTGCATTCATTGATTGCATTGTGTTGTGTTGTGTTGTGTGATCAAAGCGTACTTACCAGAGCCTTGCTATTAATTAGATTTCGCACTGCAAATGCACGTCCAGACATGCCCTGTTTGGCCAACTTTGCATTGAGATTCTCGAGAAATTCAGCCTTGGTCTTGGCACGTATGCTGCCAGTCTTTTCAATATTGGTGCTCGTGGCATAGTCTAGGGATATGCGTTCAGCAGGTGTGGATGAATGTGGATGGGTGCACGAAAAAGCGCGCACATAAAAGTAAAAAAAAAGAGAAAGAGAAGCAAAAATGTTGTTTTGACAAACGTTTCATTGTGAGTGAGATGGAAAAATGCTCATAAAATGCACACAAATTCAAAACAAATGCAAAATATATATAAACAGAAAATCAAATCAGAATATGTCCATAGATACAGTGCAATGAGATGCATATCAGGTTGATGTGATAGTCAGAGATAAATCTATTGAACATTAGGTCATGTTAAAGAGATGTGAGATGAGAGATATGAATTACTATTCTTTATATCAATGGTCCATCATTTTGTCCGGTTTCTTCGCTGGTTAAAGTATTAGTTGTCAACACTTGCTGGGTACACCATTTATTTGTATATATTCTAAATCAATATCAAATTCAAACAAAATAATAACAACAACAAAGCAACATGCAACTTTTGCCAAAGAAATGAAAAAACTTCGCAACGAGAATTAAGAATTCAATTATCCAATATCAATTGTACGATAAAAAAAAGAAAAAAACAAAAAAAAAAACGAAATAAATAAAATAGTCTGCAAAATAAACAAGGAATAAAACTGCGCTGCAATCAAATCAAATCAAACGCGCTCTCACTTGAATGGTGTGCCTGGACATGAGGCATATGCCCCACATGGGCGTGGGCGTGCCCATGGCCGTGGGCGTTGTTATGGCTGGCATAGTAAGCAGCGCCACCATTGCTGTTGCCGCCAGCAACATCGCGATAGTAATGCTGTTGTTGTTGCTGGTGCTGTTGATGTTGCAGCTGATGTTGCTGATGGTGTTGCTGCTGCTGCTGCTGCTGTTGATGGTGGTGGTGCTGACCACCACGCGCTGTTGTGCCATAAATGCTGGCCAAGGATGCTGATGCGGGCGAGCCAAAAGTAGGCGAGGCAGCCGGCGTCGTGTGCACAGACGATGGTGAATGAAATTTGACAGCCGTTGTCTGTATGAATGGATTCGTGGAAACAAATATCTTTTGCTGCACACTGGAATGACGCGATGGTATAGGTGGCTGACGTTGTTGCTGTTGCTGTTGCTGCAGTAGTTGTTGTTGTTGCTGCTGCTGGGGCAGCGGCATAGGTGCTCGCTGATTAGAGTGTCCGTTGCCAACGCCGATACCTGTTGGCTGTTGATATTGTTGCTGTTGTTGCTGTTGCTGCTGCTGCTGCTGCTGTAAACGTTGCTGTTGTAATATGTTTTTGGGCAACGTGGCACTGTTTGAAGCTGCAGCATAGGCACCCACCAAATTATTGCCCATGTTGTTGCTATTGCTGCTGCTGCTGTTGTTGCTGTGCGCAGCATTGGCACGTGCCATTTTCTTGGGCATGGTTGCTGAATAAATGGGCGGCGGTGGTGGATTTTCAAGCGGCGGTGGACATGTGTAATGTTGCTGCTGTTGCTGCTGTAGTTGCTGCTGTTGGTGTTGTCGCATGTTTGCTGCAGTTTGCGCAGCTGCTGAATTTTTTGTAAACGAATTTGTATAGTTGCCAAAATCTTTGCTGCTCGCCGCTTGTGGCGCTTGTGGTGGCTGATAATGCGATGTATTGTTTGCTGTTGTCGATGTGGTTGTTGATGCGTTTGAAAATGAACTGACTTTAGAGAGCAACGATGATGTGGATGAAGATAGTGGAAAGTGTGGCAAAGCATTGAATGAGGTGGAAGATGTGGATGGTGTTAAAACAGAAGATGAGTTAGTTGTTGCATTATTGTTCAACAATGCTGTTGTTGATGATGATGTTGCTGATGATGATGTTGTGCCGAAACTAGCGTAAATTCTATGTTGCTGCTGTGCAAGCTTATGCTCAAATTTACCGTCGTAGTGTTGCTGCTGTTGCTGCTGCTGCTGTGTCATGGACAAACCGTTGCCGCCGCGCATATAAATGGATTCGCTACCTGCATTTCCATAAATGCCCTCAGCAACATGTTGCTGTTGCTGCTGCTGCTGTTTGCTGTTGAGTCGTGCATTGAGCTGCGCAATCAGATTCGGATTCGCCTTGGGCTGTGTCGGTGGCAGTGGATGCCCAGCATGTCCATTTGGACTGGGACTGCTGGTGCGAAAGCTGGACATGTTGCTCACCATTTTGGGCTGCGCATAGATGCCGCCCCCAGCACTGGGCGATGATGTGCGGAACGAAGACTGTGATTATGTGTGTGTGTGTGTGTGTGTGTGTGAGCAAGTAGAAAGAAAACAAAAGGCATTAAATTATAAAGTGGCCACAAAAATAGCAACAATAAGCTAGATGTTTGTTTATATGTATATGATATATGGTCTATATATGCATGTTATAATAGTTATCAATTGGATCGCACAGAAATTAGAACTGGCCAGAATGTTGGCGTCGATATTATAATATAAAAATAAATATTTAATTATGGGAAATTTATACATGTTTTATATTTAATTTGTACACCCATTATAATTGGTGTATACCAAAGATTTAGTTTGAATTCCATTTACAAGCACGTCTGACACCGAATCGTTCTAATTAGAGTGCGACCATTCTATATATGAATACATCTATGTCTAGTTATGCATGGTATATTAAATATAGTTATAAATCGGAATTATTTCAACTAAAGTAAGCAGCGATATTAGAGAGATTAGTAGTAGGCACGATGACAGAGAGCGAGAGAGAGATGAACCAATTCAATTTTATTAGTTGTTGCTGTTCTTGTCGACGGGTTAGTGGTGCACACAGTCAAGTGGTTGCACTTACGGCATCTAACTGCGGTGGCCCCTGATATGGCGGTGACGTTGGTGGCTGCTGCTGATGCTGATGATGATGATGAAGATGATGCTGCTGATGCAAATGTTGCTGCTGTTGCTGTTGGAGCTGTATATAGCATTGCTGTTGCTGCAGTTGATATTGCTGCTGCTGCGGGTAAGTTGCTTGCGGTGTTGGTTGTGGTGCTTGTGAGGCATGAGCATAGGCATGCAGCTCCATATAGGAGTTATAGTAACCTTCATAATCAGCTTCATCGCTAGATGATTGCTTGTGCACGGTCTAAGTTCATTTTTTTTTTTTAATATTTGGCAAGCATTGTTGAGTTTTGTGTATTGTATTGTATTGTGTGTGTGCAATAAGTTTAAGCAAATTTGAATAGAAATGAAAATGAAAAATGAAAAGAAATCATAGATAAACAAAGGAGTAAAGCCCAAGCCAAGAGATGTGCACACACCTGCTGTAAAGATTGCTGTTGTTGCTGCTGCTGTTGCTGCAGTTGCAACTGCTGCTGTTGCTGCATGCGTCGCAGCGCAACGGGCGAGGCAGGCTGATGCCGCATGGCAGCCAGAGCGCGCACCGTCTCCGACACCTTGAGCGCTGAGCTGGGCATGGAGTTAGGGGTAGGCGATGTGGAGTAGGCGCTTGCCTCCAACATAAATGCCGGCGGCGGTGGCAAATGATCGCTGGAGTATAAGTTGTTGCTGTTGAGTTGTTGCTGTTGTTGCTGCTGCTGCTGCTGTTGCTGCTGTTGCTGCTGTTGCTGCTGCTGCTGCTGTAGCTGCTGCTGCTGCTGCTGCTGTTCTTGTTGCAGCTGCATTGAGGCATTATTAAAATCATAAGTGAGAAACGAAAATGAACATAAGCGAGAAAAGAAAAGGAAATGTGTCTGTTTGTGTGAGTTTTTGTGGTTGATGCACGATCGATCGATCACTCACTGCTTAAAGCTTACTTAACTTACGTAACGCTTACTTACTAACTTAATTGATTGCGCATAATTAATTACAGCTATAGGGCTGCCACCGAGGAGTGCAACACTTACCCCCACATTGGGACTGGGCGTCACCGATGAGCTGCGACGCACTGGCGGCGGTGGCTTCGCCTGATTAATGGATGAACGACGTGCGATACGTGTGGAGGAACTGCCCCCACCCAATCCTCCAGCTACTGCTGCTCCACCTCCTGTGAAATGTGTTTCCAGAAATGATATTAGCATATGTTCAAACTATTTAACTATTTTGCGAGTTAATAACATTTATATACAGTGTGTGGCAGAATAATAAAAAACACAGAAAACACCATATACCAAATATGTAGCTGTTAGAAGACGCATTACTATAAAATCGCATTGCATCTGAGATGCATATATCTTTAATGTTAGCTAATACACAACACTGAAGACGAACGTTAGACACTTTTTCACCTCCCGAAACGAAAACAAAATAACCAATTTTCTTTGCCAAATGGTAATAATTTTTGAATACCCTAAGCCAGAAGACGAATGGAATACATATATACATATAGATATAAACGAGTACGAGTATATCTTACAATGCTGATTCGATTGATTCGATAGTTGCGATATACGTAGAATATATATTAGTGTAAAGCAGTGTTACAATTAGTCGCAGTTGCGTGCAGTTTTTTGTTTGAGTGTATTTATCTAGTATAATTATTGTATTCTGTGGATGGTGCTGAGTGAGTGATTATGAGTTGAACGGGGGTTAAGACCTTATAGACGAGCCGCCAAGCTAGGTTTAAAGACGAAACAATATTACGCAATTAGAAACAATACAAAATGATGAAAGTGGTGATAAACCAAAGCCAAGAAAAACAATTGTTGCTGAGATAAGAGAAATCAAACCGAGGAGTTGATGGTTAATAAATTGGTAAAGAAACTTAAGAGAATTCGAACAAAAATCAAAATAATACGAAATGAAACGAACCCGACAACGATGCCGGCCTGGGCGTTATGCACGGTTTGGCATGGGGATTGGCAATGGCATTGGCATTGGCATTGGCAGTAGTGGAGCACATATATGAATTGGATGGTGTTGGTTTCGCGGGAACGGGAGGCAGCGGAGGTGGCAGCGATGCGGGCGCAAGCATTGTTGTTGTTGTTGCTGCTGCTGTTGCAGATAATGTTGATGTTGATGTTGATGATGATAATGGCAATGGCAACTTGGCCCCAGGTGATATTGCTGATAATAATAATGATGAGTTTGATGATAATGCAGATGTGGTTGTTGTAAATGTTGCTGCTGTTGTGGGCGTTTTGTATGGCGCATGATTGGTGGATGTTGTTGATGTTTGAGTCTGATATTGGTTTGGCATTCTATGATTTTGTTGGATGGAATTGGATGCAGATGCAGTAACGGCTGTTTTATTAGTGACATTACAGTTTGCTGCGGTTGTTGCTGTTGTTGTTGTTGTGGTTGTTGTTGTTTGGGGCGACTGGGGTGAGTGTGGTGGTTGTTGTTGTTGCTGCTGCGGTTGCTGCTGTTGTTGCTGCAGTTGTTGCTGCTGCTCTTGCTGCTGTTGCAATTGCTGCTGCACTTTTAGTTTCTGCTTGCGTATTTTGGCATCTAGATCGGCCTTAAAGTCAAACTTTCTAGGTATCATTGGCTTGCTGCTGCTGCTGCTGTTGCTGCTGCTGCTGTTGCCCGCTGCTTCAAGCGATGGACCATTAAATATGCTCAGGCTAATCGGCTTGGGCGGCAACTTGCGCCGCACTGTGCTGCTGCTGCTGCTGCTATCATTTGCTAACAAATGTTGCTGCTGCTGCTGCTGCTGCTGCTGTTGGTCTACACTAACTCTAAGCTTTTCCGTACCTCTGTGCGGACTGGCGCGTCCGAGCAACTGTAGCTGCTGCTCGCTGCTGGCGCGAAACGAGGAGAGTCGCTGCTTGGCGGGCGCCACGGTTGCTGTTGCCGGCTTTGACCCACTGGCCGTTGTTGATCCACCAATACCACCACCACTACCACCATCTGGGGATTCGGGCGAGCCACTCAGATTGTCGGGCAACTGCTGCAATTCACGCATCTCGTGCAGCTGCAACTGCTGCGGATCCTTGTGGCGCAACAGCACAATCTCCGAGTTCTGCTTGACAAACTCAATGTCCGGCGTATTGGGTATCTGATGGTCATAGATAACAACGACGGCGCTACCATCATCACTGCACGTGTCCACATACGCATGCCGCTGCTGGCAGAGGCTATCTGAAGTCGCCAGCGATATGCTGTCGGCAGCGGATTGCGCATACAGTGAGGATGAACATCCGCCGGAGGGATCCTCGCGATTGGCAAAATGCGCAAATGTGGGATTCTCATAGCCACCGGCCAGTATGCCGCCAGTCAGTGAACTGGTCTCGCTCACATAGCAGCGACTCAGCTCCGAATCGCTGGCGCCCAACTGCTGATGACGTCGGGCAGCCGCCAATCCTCCACTTTCATCGGCGCCCAGCTCCTCGGAGGTGGTGTCCGATATATCGGTGCCGCAACCGCTGGAATTCGTTTGATTGCTAATCGCACAGCATTCAATGTTGATGCTGCTGCTGGGCATGAGTAAATCGTTGCAGTTGTTGTTCTCGTTGCTATTGCTGCTGTTGCTGCTGCTATTGTTGCTATTGTTGTTGTTGCCGTTGTTGTTGATGCCGTTGTTGTTGCTGTTGGTGTTGCATTGCTGCTGCTTGCTGCCCTTGCCCTCATCGATCTCTCGTTGAAAGGAGTCTAATTCGCCAATTAAATTATTTAGTGCTTGAATCGAGTCTTCGAAAGATTTGTCTAATTATTATGTTTTGAGTTTTATGGTTTGTTGAAGTCATTTTTGTTGTTGTTGTTGTTGTTGTGTGGTGCATTTTTTATTTTTTATTTTTACATGAGTCGAAAATAAATTATTGTGTTTTGTACAAAATAACGCGAAAGTTGGTTTGTGCGTTGTGTGTGTGTGTGTGTATGTGAGTGTATTGTTTTGTGTGTGTGTTAAACACAACAGAAACAATATGAGAGAGGGGGAAAAAACGAAAAACAGAAAAAAGAAAACGGGTTAAATATAGTGAAAAAAAAAAAACAAAAAAAAACACGAGAAATACAGCAGGTATAAACGAGGGGCGGAGGGTATCAAACAAAATTCGGAGGGATTTGCTTGGAGATATTCTGAATTGGGTGGTTTAAAAAACTGTGCTCGAAGGAGTTTGCTTTTGCTGGGGACGAGGGGGGGCTGCTTGAATGGTAAGAGAGCTGCATTTATCTTTGACTTACCCATCTCCTGTTGCTCAACAGCGCGCAGCTCCTCGCTGCGACGAGTGGTGGTGGCAGCTGGGACTGTTGCTGGTGGTGCGGGTGCTGCGACGGTGGCAGCAGCAGCGGCCGCCTGCTTCTCAAACATGGATGCCTTCTGCAGCACAGAGGCCCGCGAACGCTCATCGGAATCGGCTGACTCGCTGTGAACATCGGGTGGGGCCACAGCTGTCCCAGCTCCTGGTTCGGTAATCTTCAACACATCGCTAGCGGAGGTGGGCGGCGTGGGTGAGCTGACTTGATAGATGAAGCCAAGGCCACTGGCAATGCTGCCACCGCTCGGTGTACCTGCAGCAGTGGACGTGGGTGAGTTGGTTAACAGTGGTGAATAGTGATTCTGTGGCGTTGAGCAGCCACTCGACGGCGTTGTGGTGCTAGTGTTGGTATTGCCACCAGCAGCCACAAGCGAGGCAGCAACAGCTGAATCGATAGATGGGTGCGAGTGCAGCGAGGAGGAGGCTGTGTTGGAGGACACCGATGAGGATATGGAATGGGAACGTGTACCAAGACCACTGCCCGACTGATGATTCATGTGCGATTGCTGCTGCTGCTGTTGCTGCTGCTGCTGATTATGCTGCAACAGTTGCTGTTGCAGCGAGCTAGTCGACGAGTCATTCGAATGCTGCGAACATATGGAATCAATGCTACTCTGCTGCTGCAGCAACGGAGTGGATGACTTTTGCTGTTGTTGTGATTGCTGTTGCTGCTGCTGCTGTTGCTGTTGCTGGTTGGTTAGTTTCATAGCCGCCAATTCAGACATGTTAACATAGGTGGGCGGGGTTTGTTGCTGTTGCTGCTGCTGTTGCTGTTGTGATTGCTGCTGCTGTGCATGATGTGCGGCGGACAGCTCTGTGTGTTGGCATTAACATGAGCGTGTTGGACAAGGCATGCGCATGGTGATTGTGTTTGATGATTGGTGTTGTTGGGAAAGAGAGACCAGCACAAATAACAAGTACATGGATTGATTAGTAAACTGGCCGAATGGTATTAGGCGTTAAAAGGCTTGCACACAAGATCACAACAAATAAAATTATATATATATATATGTACATATACGATTGTGGAACAACTGACTACCTTTTGTGATATGAGCCGGTATCGGTGAAGGGCACTGGCGCTGCAACAAATTCTGTCCACTATTCTGGCGTTGATTGCTCTGCGCCGACAGCGGTCGCTCCAGCGATGAACAGCGCTATAAAATTATGATCGAAGGGTATTAGGAAAATTCTGTGCATAAAAGAAGAAAGTATTATCTTCGGATAGCCGAATTTTAAGTAAATACCCTTGCAGATTTATAAAATATATTACTGAAAAATTATGTGTGTAATTTAAAGAATATAAGAATTGAATATATAATTGATATAATTGAATATATAATATAGTATTCCAAAGATGATTAGTTTTCTGCTAAAGTAACAATTAATGTTTTGTGAATTTATTTAATATAATGATCTTAATCAAAAAATACATATATAATCGTAAAAATAGATGTAGTAGATCTAAATTCAAATATACACTCTGCAAGGGTATACAAAATCAAGGGCTACTTGGAGATGAAGGCGATGTTGACTCTGGCTGAGAAGAGACTAGCTTTAATTGGTGGTTGAGCGGTTGGGCGGGCAGGGATGAGCGCATGCAAATGATTGCGCAATGAGTGTCTACGCTGCCACTTACCACATGTGCCGGCTTCTAGATTGGTTTGGTTTGATTTGGTTTCGATTTGTTTTGTTTGGTTGCCACAGCAAACGTGAACGAGAAACAACTTAAGCACTAGAATCAAAATTAGAGGCATGCTTCAGGCGATACTTACAACTGGCAGAGGCGGACGACTGAGCGAAGCTGCCGGCGATTTCTGTGTGGCCGGCGTATTCTGGCCCGAGTTCGTGGCGGAGCCATTGGTGTTGCTGTTGCTGTTCGTGTTGGTTGGTTGGTTGGCAGCAACCGTTGCTGGGTTGAGGCTACCACTGCTGCTGGACTCGGGTATAGTCTCGGGATTCTGGAACGTGTATACAGTGAGCGGTGGACGCTGATGTCCCTTCTCATATGTTGTCGAAATCGTGTGCGGACGATCGGCAGTCGGCGGCAACGTATCCACCACGTCCTGGGAATGTGGCGGCCAAGTGGAGACGGCATGCGTCTGATTTGTCGCATTCGAAGCCTTTGACAAAGAGGGGAAACATTTTTATCAATTACGAGACAATTCATTTAAAATACATTCGAGAAAGTTTTCAGCACAAAAACACATATTAAAGTAATTGAATTGAATTGAATTGAATTGAATTAAATAAATAAAAAATAATGAAAACCTGTGTTGTTAGCGCTGGCGATGAGCAAAAGCCACTATCACTGGATTCACCAGGTTTCAAGCGAATTGCGGGCGTTACAAACTAAAAACAAAAACACAAAAGACAAAAAAGAACGTTGTTGAGATGAAAACCCAAAATGGCAAAACAGGCAACAACAACAAGCAAACACACACACATAACACACATACACACAAATGCCAGTTAAAATACATAACTATATATATATACAACTAAAAATACAACTGAAATTTACGCTATGCAGCAGAATGCTCTAAAAGATTGGTCACGATTTGGTTTTATAATGTTCTCTTTGCAATATGATTAGAGTTAAATATTTATGCATTAAGCAAAGCTTTTAACTATTAACAATGAACTGAATAGAGTTGAGTTAGCGACACACTTTGTTAGCTAAATATCTTGTACAAATATATTATGCTCTATCTATGCACAGGATTACAATTAAATATGAGTTTACAATCATTTGAGTATAGCACAATTTAACAAAGGTGTTAAAGTGTCCAATTGTTCAGAGCTAATTTTGTTGCATAGTTGGTGTTTTAGCAGTCAGACCGACAGCACGAACCTGCGACAGTGAGCGCGGATAGTGATGGTGACCCGGCGAGTTGCTGGAACCACTGCTATTCATGCTGCTAATGGAGCAGACAGAGCTTTTGCGAGAGCCCAGCGAATTGGAGCAGCCGCCGCCCTGGGAGCCAGAACCGCCGCCCGGCGACTCCGGATAGAGATTAATGCTTGCCTTAGCATCGTGAATAAGCTCCTCAGAGGCCGGTGGCAGTACGCTTGGCTCCTTGGTGACCAAAGCGATGGACTGCATCGCCTCCTAGAAATTATGGAAAATGATTTGCTTTAGTCAGATACAAACTGATCAACTAACTTGAATAAGACTCACCTGCAGGTGTCCCAGCTCGGAAATGACCTCGCATTCTTCGTGCACCACCGGCTGCAGCATGTGGACAAAGCTGCAGAAGCGCAGACGCTCCTCGACCATGACAGCGCGCAGTGACTTCTTCTCGACCTCCTCGAGCTCGGCGCGTCGCAGGGTGACATCCTGCATGTGTGAGTCCATCAGCGATTGGAGACTGTTGTCCGTTTGGCCCTTGCGGGCCTTCTTCTGCAGACGCAGCGTGTCGCTGGAACGCTTCTTTAGTTCGCTGCGACAGCGCTTATACTCTTTGGCATGATCCTTGTCAATGGTGGCCACGGTGCGTTTCCAGTCCTCAATCTTATCCTGCAGCGGCTGCACCAGACAATCCATAATGGCGCTGGTGAACGTCTTCAGGCGCGTCTCGACCGCCTTGTGGCGCAGGCAGACGCGCGTCAAAGCGGTGCCAATCTCCTTGGATGCACCTGCAAAAAAAAACCAGAGAGCACCAAACAACATGATTAATTACGGAAATGCATCGTTGTCGTAGTTGTCGTTGTCGTTGTCGTGGTTGTCTTGGGAGTATGACCAGGCCAATACGTTGCAATTGCACGCCATGCTGTCTGTTCAATTTGAGGCTGGCTCATTGCATGCCACACGGAATTCGGTTTCTTGGGAAGTCGGTCAACAACCGGTCTCGTGTGTGCCCATTATGTCAGCTACTGCTACGCTTTGGGCAGCTGCCTATCAGCCAACTGACAGCAGCAGCAGCACCAGCCAGCAGCAGTTAATAATCTGTACACGCTACTCCTCCTCCTGCTCCTGCTCCTGCTCCTCCTCCTAACTACCACACTCCGCAAGCTAACCCAAATCTAATTATCGCAGTGAATGTTGCCATTATCCTATTGATTTCTGCTCGCCCATGAAATGGTACTTAAGGCAAATCCCACATAAAGCACTTTATGGACGCCCCCAAATCCAAGTTAATTGAATAAAAGAACCCCCAAAACAAAACAAAATAAAAAGGAAAAAAATGTTGCCTGCCACCAGTCAAAGCTTGAATTCAACCACCTAATGGAAGACGCAAAAGCATGTGCAAATTATTGAGTTTCACCCTCGTGCGCAAATGGACAATTGACACTTGTCCTGCCAGCGCTGCTTGACCGAGCACAGACGAACCCAATAGGCAACATGCTTAGTCCAAGTAACCACTAAAACTAATGAAACCATTTAGTAAGTGCAAATGTACAGAGCAGACAGTACTCAAAAAGGGTGGCACAAATGGTGGCTACTTGAGGATATGGCCGGTGGGCCATATGAGGATTCAGGCGGCAACTTTTTGTGCAAGCGAATATGCAAACGCCAGACGTGGCACTCGATCAATAAATGCAAATGAGGCAACAAGCACAGACAGTCAGCGCAAATGCAAACAGGGATACAGAGCGGTAGATACAAGCACAGACCAAGAGATAATAGATAAATAATGAAGCGACATGGGAGTTGTAAGAAATATATGCAAATTTCATTATGCTACAAAGTTCAAATTGATATTCCCACAAAAAATCAGTGGAATACAAAAGACAATCGAATTCATAAATTCAATAATAATTTCATTTCGACAAGCGAATACAGTACTTAATTATTTAACAATAATAACAAGAAAAAAAAGACGAAGATGATATTTAAATTTGGGCAAAATCTGTGACAAAAATTGCCAATTCACTGCAAAATATATAGCTAAGATGAATTCTTAATTCTTGTATGTTTAAATTGCGATTTAGTAACTAACTGTAACTAAAACAATGTCAACTGCAACTACTTGAATGCAGTAGATAAATACGTGTTGTCTCCGTTGTGGTCTTTGATCTCTGTTGAAGTTGGCGGTTCTATTACTGCCCACAGTCAACAGAGAGTTAAAGATAAATAGAAGAAATAAAAGCCAAACCAAGTAGTGGCTTCCCGTTCCCGATTGCTATTCTTGTCAAAGAAGTTGTTGTTGTTGTTATCCGCCCAGGTGAGCAACATTGCATAATCAGAGCTGAGCGTGAAGTCCATCGGCCGTCGAGAGAGGCCAGCCAATAAATAAATATAAATAGCAAACGCTGAAATGCGTGAGCACCAAATAGAGCCCGAATCGGGGAAAGAGACAGGTCGGCAGGCAGGCAGGCAGGCAGGCAGGCGTGAAATGTGTAAAATCAGATCGATGACCGACGTTGACGCCGCCAGCGTCGACTCTCTAACAAATACGCATTAAGAATAGATGGATGTACATTGTACAACTACAAAATGTGCTTCATTTGTACAGAAGAGGCAACTACAAAAGGGGCATGAGGCGGCGGCGGTCAAGTTTGCTTTATGTTTACGACTTTTGAACTTACCTCTGGAATTGGTGGCCGCGTCGGCGATCTTTTGGAAGGCATCCAAATAGGCGGCAATTGCCTGAATAGCAGCGCTATAAAAATAAAAGAAGAGCAAACAGAAATAACAGATTATAGGTATAAAGATGTAAAAAAATATGCCAACAAAAATAAAAATGCCAAATGATTATAGTGCGGCGGCAGGCTACATGGCTACAAATCTAATAATCTTTGCAACAAAACTTTATTGGCCGTGGGCGACATTTCAATTGAAAATGGCAGAGGCAGACAGAGAGACAGAGAGACAGGCAGGCCAGTCTAAAGAGCAATTGAGAGGCGACTGCACCCAGAGCAGCAGAGCAGCTGATGAAGATGATGATCAAGAGGCTGGGCTACTTTCAGACTACGACCTGTCTGCTCTCCGGAGTGTACAGAGAGACACGCAGAAAGAGGGGCGCCGTCAAGCGGGGTGCGTATTTGTGTCAAGCGCATTGGGCAAACACTTGGCTCAGAATTTCTTTTGCTCTGCCAAAAAGCAAAAAAAAAAAAAGAAAAAACAATAACAACAGACTTCTCAAGATGCATGATTAATGCACTACTTATGTATACATAAATACATACGTATGTATATAGTATAGTGTTGCACATTACCCAGACTGACACTGCCGCTGGCGTCACAAATTGGGGCCAAGACTGAGCATAAAAAACACACTCTCGCACACACACACACACACACACACACTCTAAAACAAAATGAAAACTATAAACAAAGACGCACACGCCGCGTCGGTGGTTGAGACAGCCAGAAAATAATCATAGACTGTGAAAGGAAATGGCTGGCATAAAAAACAGTTTTAGGCACTCTCAAATTAGTCCGACTTTTGTTTACGATTCATTTGTATATTTTATTCTGATGCAAGGTTTTCGCAATCGTTTCAAATTTTCAAATTTGTTTAAACAATTCAATTCTAATTTCTAATGGAATTTTCAGACTTACCGCAGGCATGTGTGCAGTTTACTCGCCTTGGCCACAAAATCATCCCACAGTGGCGAAGTGTTCTGCAAATAAAAAAGAGTATGGCAAATTTGTATTAACATTGTGTGTACTATCAATTGTGGCAATAATAAAATTAAAAATACTTGTTCAACATGAATTGACATTAGTTGACATGCACAAATATAAATGTATCTAAGCAACAAATAACAATGCGAAATCGTTTCTTTTTTTATTTTTTCTGTGGCCCTCGACAAACAATAACAATTCTCCAATCAAGTGTTATCAATTGGCAGATACCCTGTACCAAGTGGCACAGTCACATTTATCCATAGCTCAGCTTCTTTAATATGATACATGAATTTATCATTACGCCTCGTAGCTATTTAATAGCTACACGGTATAGAAATCAATAAGAACTCAGCAAATGTGTTCCAAAATATGCAATAAACAGCTGCTCAAAGGCAAATGTCTATTTTATTGGGGCATCTAAGTCAACACATACATCCACACCCACACACACACACACACACACACCCCAAACACGCAACAGACTTGACAAATGTGCGTACGTGTTGGCCAATCGTAAATAGAAAAAGGTTGGCTGCAGCTATAACCAAAAAAAAAAAATAATAATAGAATAGAATAAGGGACAAGAAATTGGCAAAATAATAAAAGATGCAAAGCTTTCAATAAGGCGTATTGATTTGAAATAACACAATAATATGTCTTCAAGACTTATATTTATTTAGGGATGTAATCTGTCAGCTATTACGGATATAACCTTTATAAGAGTTACCAAAGCAATCCATTTTGATTTGAATCCGCCTTAAAGTCATCACATAATATTTCCAATTAGTTAAGGATATGGCTTTAAGGAGTGTTTTCCTTGTTATTATGGCCTGTCAAGCATACTTAGTTGCGTGTTTGGCTCCTGCCAATTAGCTCAACATTTTCAACCAGCGAATTTGGCTTGTCAAAACTTTTGTGGGGGCAACGTAAATGCATTAAAAGTTACTGACGACATGAATAATGTGAAATGTGGTTATATGACAATCTCAATATATATATATATATATATATATACATATATACCTCATTGAACTGCGACTTTTGTTGTCTGTGCATTTGATTAAACCCGATGAAAAACTTTTCAGTTTTATGTGTGTGTTCAACAATTTAACTCAATGAAAAACGAAATCAACTCAATTGGCTGCATTTAATGCTCTTATTAATCAGCGTAAAGTTTAAATTTAAAATGTAATTGAATAAATGTTAAAAAAAAAAATAATAAATCAATTTAACACCATGAATATTTGTAGATGAATAAGAATTACTAGAAATGACTTTATTTTTAAATTTGATTTAGAGTTTCATTAAAACTAAATAGATATATAGGGAAATTTAAGTTTGAATACAACAAATATATCGTAGATTGTTGGAGAACTTGGCTTTGACAAGTCTTCAAATATAAGCGAGCAACAATTAGTAGGTCTTCATTCTGCAGTATCTTCTCCTCCTGCTTTGGCTTGAGAAGGGCTGCTGTGCAGCTGCCTGTGGCGTGGTTAATGAAGTTTTCTATGATTCCTTCTTTTTTTACGAAATGCAATCAACACGTTAGCAGAATGAAAGTGATTGAACATTGGGCCAACGACCAGCAGTTAGCCAGCTAAGCAATTTAATAGCTGATCAGCAGCCAGCTGCCAGTTGGCAGTATTCTCAGCAATAGCAAAATGTTACCTATGCGAAATATGGTCAAAACCACATGGCACAGCATGAGCTGTGGTTGTAGTTGTAGTTGTTATTGTTATTGCTGGTTGTCGTTGCTGCCGTTGTGCTTGGCTTTTGTTTTTACTAGTTTCATTGCCAGGCCATAAAAGACAAACGCCTGCAAATTGTGCACACACCATAAAAAAGTAGCCAAAGATTTATACATAATTTGAGAATAAACGCAAGTAAAGAAGCGCCAAATGGTCAATAAAAAAAAAGTGAAAACGGGTTTCCGACCACGAAAGCCACACAACTACAGTAAATACACGCAGACGGACGCACAACGGGCAACTAAAAAGTCGTTATGACCAATTTATTGCTCCACTTGTTTTGTGATTGTCGTTGTTGTCGTTGTTGCCGTTGTTGCCGTTGTTGCCGTTGTTGCCGTTGTGCTTCTAGTCAGTTTCAATTACAACACCAGCAAATTGACATTGAAATCGAGCAAGTGTTATGACTGATGACAGTGCCTCAGTTAAATGCCCAACCAAGTGTTCAAATAACCAGAATCGATTCACTGTCTACACTTTCAATGCGTTTGTCTCGTTGGCACTGGTCCAGAGAGCTCAACCAAAAAATAAATAAATACAAAAAAGCGCATGAATTGCAATTTGAATGCGCTTTCGATTTCACGTTTTGCATTCGAGCACAAAAGTAAGCACAATAAAAGGCTCGCGCAAATGCCAATCGAGAAAATCCATTTAACAAAAGCCAAAATGCAAACATGGCAGGCTGATGTATGGGGAAGGGGGGTGTAGGGTGGCAGGGAGGTAGCATTGCATAAAAGAGGTGACGCAGTCCTATGCCGAGTGCATTGAGCCGCATGAAAGAGGTGCAACAGCAAAAAATGAACGGAAATCGATTTCGGTTATTTCTGCAAAGCATTTATTTCTCGCTCTCGCTCGCTCGCTCGCTCGCTCTCTCTCTCGCTCGCTCTCTCTCTCTTTCGCTCTCTTGGTATATAGCATACAATTGTGAAAAATATAAACAAAAAGGTATATAAAAAATAAAATACTACAGATGCAAAGTGGTTATATAAGAAGACGACTACGAGATACGCTGCACTGCAAAAAAATTACACGAGCAAGGACTTGTATTTGAAATGTGTCTAAAACTAAGTTACGAGAATCACTTCCAGCACTCAGTTTAGATATATAAATGCCAAAGCGAACTGCAGCTGACATTAAGAATAATTTGCACTATACAACTTGCTAGATCGCTGAAGAGTTATCGAAACGAATATACCCAGACAAGCATCGCATGGTAAGTTTTGCTCATGTTGTGTTTGCCTTTACCGCAACTTCTACGTAATGGGCACCAACCAAAGTGGCACTGCAACGATATTAAAGCCGGTAGACATCAACTTGCGGCGGCAAAGGTTTATAATTCATAACACGACGACAATGACAACGGCAAAAGAAGTTGGATGTGGCAGAGGCACATCGGTAGGATCGACGTAATTGTTGTTGTTGTTGTTGTCAGTCAATGGCCCCGGCAGGCTGTCTGATGCGCCATATTTGGCATCAGCCATGTGGCCGATGGATCACTTGACCTACCGCAATCGATTGTATGTTAATCGCAATTGAGAGAATGACAACGTGATTTGAAATGTTCGGAAATTATCTACAAGTTAATGCGATTATTCTGAAACCGCGCAACTAGATTTTCCAACCACCAGAAGCTGCAATGATGCAGAGGAAGGGTAATTTGTGCAGCACTTGGTGTGATGAGGATCATTTCTGATCTCACGAAAACATTTTTAGCCCTACCTAAAGCAATTGTTTAACTATTTCAAAAGAACTCCTAGATCAAAATCAAAGCAAATACCAAAACATATATATATATATTCTTCAAACATCTTTGCGCAGTCTAAAACCAAATTCATAAAAGACATAATTCGAATTCTTCAGATTTCTTACATCCAAAATATCCGCCCCTGAAAATAACGTGGGCTTTTAGCAAATTTAGTAAATTGGTTATGGGTATACATTAAATACTGTATTTAAATATATGAGTGGCACAAGGCAAACAGATTGAAAGCTCAAGGCGAATTGCAAAGAAAAATATATATACGAGTATATAAGAAACTGCATTATTTAAAGCCAAAAAAAATAAAATTAAAAAAGCCAAAAAAAAAAGACGATTGCCGTATGATTGACAAAGCGTGGCATAAATCGCAGCCCACATGCCACTTTTTGGCGACGTAAAATAGTTATCGAAAAGAAGCAACAACAACCACAACAACAAAAACAACTTGATAAGCGTCTTTGGCTCAGATTAGTTGTGCTTTGGGTGGTTGTTGTTGGTGCGTAGGCATTATGAGTTGTTATGCTGACGTGACTCGAACTCGAATTCGGATTCGAACTCGTACTCGGACGCGGACGCGGACTTGTGGCGGCATTTTATGAATGAAAATTGGTGTTGTTGTGTTGTTTTCTTCAGAGCTCCGTTCGGCCAACAAATACACACTCGCACACGCACACACATTCAGAGATTGAAGCACACGCAAGGCTGTCATTACGAACATTATGACCAAGTTGATGGCGTTGGCGTTTGGCGCTGAATTTGTCTCTCTCTCTCTGCTCTGCGCCTTTAACTCGCATGTCAACATTTTTAACGCGTCGGCTTTTTTTCTGTTTTGTCTTTTTCGGTTATGAATGAAGCACATTTTGGGCTAAAGCGCCCATTAGAGCCAGAATTGTCTACTTATAATCTTAATTTAGTAGGCTCCTCAGCGCTAAGACTGTAACTCATCAAAATTAAGAGCACCTAAGAAGCTTCATGTCGTAGCCCCGACAAAAAAAAAAAAAAAAAAAAAAAAAATAAATACCATTTGAAATTGTGAATGTGTGACGAGTGCAAAAGGCAACACTTTCCAGTTTGCCTACAGCTGCTGCTGTTGCTGCTGCTGCTGCTGTGAAATGTGCAACGTATCTTGTATCTGGGGTGTTCTCGTATGTATCTATTTAACTGCAACTGTGCGAGACACCTAAAAACCCACAATTTATGCCACAAACAACAACGGCAGCGCGAGAGGCGTTGCAATCTACAGCCAGAGGCAGGCTGCAAGCAGCAGACAACTAACTGGAAAAGTTCTCACACACACACAGAGATACATTATAAACTCTTGATCTTTCCAATAGCCTACAAAACATCCTACACGAGTTTTAACAGAGAAAAAAAGAAAAACAAAACGAAAAAAAAAACGTTGCCTCGCCAAAGTTGCCTCAACAGCTCTCAGCTGGTTCACAGCCATCATCCATCCATTCATGCAACACAATTTCAACGTTGTTGTTTGATAATTTGTGAATGCCTGTGAATCTTTGGTTAGAGCGGGTTAGCTGCACAAGATAGGAGATGGCAACTGGGAGCTGGCCAAACGGGTTCAGTTGTTGTTGCTGCCACTTCTGCTGCTGCTGCAACGTCCTACATTGCACTTTTTGGGTTACCAACTTGTTTTTTATTTATTCTTTTTTTTTTTTTTTTTTGTTGCTTGTGCTGTGTGCACAATATGCAAAGCGAGCAGTTGTCGCTGGCTTATGACTAACGACCATCAAGGAGTTCTACCAATTGATTTTCTATATGCATACACATACATCTTTGTTGCAAATTCGCTTGGCCTGGGGCAATAATTTCTGCTGCTGCTGCTGCTGCTGCCTGTTGGACAAAAAAAATCGTGCGCTGCTAATTTGCACCTTTTTCGTACAGATTTGTTTTTAGAAAGTTGCAAAGCGATTATTTATATATACACTACAATATATTGTTGAGCGTAGTGTACATTTCAAGGAATTTGAAATGAAAGTGTTGCAAGATGAACGCCTTGATTGGATGCGATTATGATGCCTGCCCCAGCTGCCACTGATGATGAATAATAACTTCTGTTTTGCCCAAATAGTCGAATGCAAAATGAAAGTATTGTTTAGGTCGAAGGCTGATCATTTTTGATCAACTCTTCAATGAGTTGGCATTAAAAATCTGCTGACTGCTCCCCGATATTAAAGCGCAACGAATTTTGCTGAGAATAGACGCAACGATTTGTGGCATTCATCAAGTAATTTAATAACTGACAGCCGTACATTTGCATATGCCAATTACCAATTACCATTTGGCAGTTTGGCCGTCCATATTCGAATAATATATGTATCTGTGCATGTATATATGCTAAACCGATTACAAATACTGGCAACGATCGCATTGCCACATTGGCAGCAGACGCAATACAAGTAGCAGGCACTGTGAAACCATGTAACCCAAAACGACGCGTCGACGATTGCGGCTTGCGACATGCGGCATAAGCAAAAGCAACAGCAACAGCCACAACAACAACAACATTAACATGCATATGCATTAACAAACGAAACGCTTGAAAAACTCTTTTCTCACATGCAACAAAGGCCACTCTCGAATGACAGCTGAGCGCCTGTTGACATCAGCGCGTGCCACAGCCACAGTCTCAAATGCGAGATTATAGAAATGGGGTATTGCGAATACCCTTTACCAACGGTGGGTTCGACATGGATATATAAGAAGTGAAACAAAGGAGAAAGCGTGATCAATTTATTTTCACTAATGTGCAATAAACTCCTCACGAGAGAGAGAGAGAGAGAGAGAGAGAGAGAGAGAGAAGTATTTAAGGATAACTTACTTATGTTAGTAAAACATTAGATATTCGAATTATATAAGTCTCACTAAGCCCCAGCTAAATATGTAGCATTTAATACATAATATACCATGGCAAAGGTTGAAGGAGACTTTTGCGATCCCATAAGATATATATATTCTTGAGCAGCATCAATCATGTCCATCAGTCTGTCTGTTCATATGCAAACTATCTAATCATTTTCCTAATACATTTTATAATTTTACAGTCTTAATTCACGTATGTGGAAGCTGGTCGGATCGGGTCACCATATCATAGATATCTAGACAAAACTCACTTAATATGTGTATTAATGTAAGCAAATGTAATTTATGTAAGTAAATATAAAACATATGCAGCTCTTAACTAACTAACATCAATAAACTAGTACATAACTAATAGAGTTGACATTATATCCGATTCACATCGCCTATTATCTCAACGCAAACGGTAGTGGGTCGTTTAATATTCTTGTGTTCTTCAAAGGCCTCCATTATGATAACAATCTTATAGCGCCCATACAATTTGACGCCCTGAATGTTTTCATACACCATTTTCAGATCAAAGGGCTCATGAATGATTTTGAGCTGCAAATTCAAATGAATTAAACACAAAACTGTTCAATATCAACTACGATAATGCCCACTTACGCCATCCTTAAGGTATAGGCATTTACTGCGAACTTCATCCACATTTGTCACGTGTCTGACCCAAGCAGTGTACCAATACTGAGCCTTATCATACAAAATTTTGCACAAGTCCTTAGTGTGCAAATCGAAAACCGTTGATTGCCAAACGCCCCGATTCCAATGCATGACACGGGCAGCAGCCTAAGGGAGTCGATCAGTGAATAACTAAAGGACGTTCAGTTTGAGATGTAATATGATTTACATATATACGATCGGTCGGCTGTATGTCCCAAACTGTTGTTAAATTGCCTTCAATGTGAACCATATCACCGATCAGAGATAATTCCAGTTCATCCAGACTAAACAAGCCTTTGATATTTGTTGCTCCAGGAGGTCCAGGTGGATTCCTGCAGTCCGAAAATATATCCGGATCCTCAGGAAGAAATTCGTAATTGGCCGACAGGACACTCTGACAACTCAATCCAAACAGTAAAAATATTGTCCACATTTCACAAAATTTGTAACACGTATAGCTAAAATGTGGCCATCGATCCATTTATATAGAATCCGAATTGAGGTCAAAACTTCACGATAAGCAATGTTTAATTAGCTGCACAATGTAACGGTTCTCATCAATCAGGTTTTGCAACATGTTTCGAATTAACATGATTCGAGATACGATCAGCAAACACGCCAAAGTACGCATACAACAATGTAATATGTATCTGTACATGGAATTTCCACAGAATTGAAGGGATAAACTGACTTTTCTAATGCACGCAAATCTCGATACGGCCGCTCTTTATACGGCATTTCGCTACAACGGTCCTCTTCATTTAAGGCAAGTTTTCGATTTACGCCCGTAAATATTTCGCTATAATAGCAACAAAAAAATAGAGAACCCCTTTCATAAGAGGAACTCATTCAAGCAGAATCAGTATTTGACGAAGAGTCAGAGTTAGTCTGTTGTATCCAAACAGCTAACATCAAAAAATTTTTCGAAAGCTTTTTCCTATTTCGAACAAGGAATAAACATCCTCCTTGAAAACGATCCTGACGTCGAACGTAGCGTTTCTCGAGAAAATAAAAGGGATTCATAATGTTGAAAGAAATTCTAACTTTTGACTATTATTGGCGAAGATACAACCGTTTGAATTTGGAAACAGAAACTTTTAAAACGTCAATTTCTCGAATTTACTTCATGAATACATATTTTCATTAGCTGTTATAAATCACTGAAGAACATAATAGACAAGAAGTCAAGAAGAACAACAGTCTACTATTTTTTTAAGTCAGGCCCATCCTTAACAGCAAAAAATTATGACGACAGTGCCATTTCTTCAATGTCGTCGGATTAAAGTCATTTAAAAATAATAATGTATGTATACATACACATATACATGTAAAATAAAGTTGTTTCATTTTGGTTTATAGACTATGGTTGGTTTTTGCAGTCTGTTATTATTTTATGTACAAATGTATGTACTTGTTATGTATGTATTTTTGATTTAAATTAAATATAAACATAAAATGCATTTTGAATGATAAACCATGTTATATATTTAACAAATTTGGAACCGATCCCACTGAATTTGTATGAATTTGATTCCTTATACGGCTTTTTGTTTTGCGGCAAAGTTTCTATGCCGTAAGGGTATTAACAACATTTTTAAATGTTAATAATTTTTTCTTTTTTCAGCTTAGCTCAAAGGGTATTTAGAGAAAATTGACATGAAAGTTGCAAATGTGCCCTTTTCTACTCTTGGACACTTTTAATGATTTTTCTCTATAATAGTTTTAGCCTATTATATCCTGAACCCTTTCAAAGTGATCAAGAATATATATATTTATTTGACTTTAATTATTCATTGTTCGAGCTTTTCTGTTTATTTTAATTATATTATATTAAAAAAAAATTAAAATAGCTCAAGGAAAAGCTTTAGCCTAGTGGGAAGAAGATAAAGGAATACGGCCTATCTATTTCTGCTTATTAAGAAATCTGCACAAAACTCACTTAAAATGTATATTGGTGTGCTCCTTCGAAACATCGGACTGCTATATCCGGTCTCCAAGGGCTTGTAATAATCAGTAAACACACAAAATTTTATATACATATGCAGAATATATTGTGCGCAACAGCAATTCACATCTGTTCTTTATATACATGTATATAGCTAAAATCGTTGATTTTATAACTCTTCCATTTCGCCTTTTATCTCAACGCAAACGGTAGGACGTTTAATTTTCTTCTGATCATCAAATGCATCCAGGGTGACAACAATCTTATACCGTCCCAGCATTGAGACGGCATTAACACCATAAATCACCAAATTTATATCAAAGGGCTCATGCATCAATTTGGACTGCAATATCAAATGAATTAAACACAAATACATCAATTACGATAATACTCACTTACGCCCTTAAGATATAGACATTTGCTTCCAACTTCATCCGCATTCGTCACGTGTGTGGTCCAATACCGGTACCAATACTGATCCTTATCATACATGACTTGGCAAAAGTCATCAGTGGATACACTGAATATCGTTGGTTCCCAAACGCCCCGATCCCAACGCATGACAGTGCCCTTAATCTAGAGGAGTCGATTAGTCGGTCAATAATTAAGGGATGTTCTGGTAAAATCTGTAATATGATTTACCGCTATGCGATCTTGCGGTTGTATGTCCCAAACTGTTGTTAAATTGCCTTCAAAGTGAACCATATCACCATTCAGGGACAATTGCAGTTCATCCAGATTAAACAAGCCGTTGATATTTGTTGATCCAGGAGGTCCAGGTGGATTCCTGCAGTCCGAAAATATATCCGGATCGTCAGGACGAAATTCGTAATCGACCGACAGGACACTCTGACAACTCAGTCCGAACAGTAAAAATATTGTCCACATTTCACAAAATTTGTAACACGTATAGCTACAATGTGGCCATCGATCCATTTATATAGAATCCGAATTGAGGTCAAAACTTCACGATAAGCAATGTTTAATTAGCAGCACAATGTAATGGTTCTAATCAATCATGTCGTTTGCAACTTGTTTCGAATTAACATGATTCGAGATACGATCAAGAAACTCCCCAACCAAACACGACAAACTAGTTGCAAAGTTTGTCGCTGATGAGAGCATCCAACAATGTAATTGATTGATTTAGTATGATTTCATATTGTTTGAACTTTCACCTGACATTGAATTCTGATTGAATTTGATCTTGCCAATATGCAGTCAATCCCTGCTCCAGTCAAACACTATATGCATAAATAGTAGTACACATTATTGTGTGTGGGCCACAGTGATGAAAGCAACAATAATAATAATAGCAATGATGCCACACCTTCACACACACAGCTCGTAAGAGACTCTTGTTGAGTTTATCTCTGTATATCTTAAAAATTGGCGAGTGCAATTTCATACTAATTATAAGCAGCAATTGTAGCTTGTTGTTTTTAAAGCTATCTGTCGATGGACCGATAGAGTATGGATGTGGCCCCTTGTTATATGTAAAATACGAGTGCACAGTCTCAGTCGCAATTCAATCACGCCACACAATTTCATATGCACATCATGTCAAAATGCCAAGCTAAACGACAACAGTCTGTCTTCTCACTGCAGCATGAGCAACAACAGTCCGCAACTTGTTTTAGACAATAATGCAAAGTAATTAATATAACGACAACGGTGTTGTCAACTCCTCCCCTCCCCCCACCATTTAATTTTGCATTGTTTGTGGCGCCTGAAGAGGAAACACTTTTGGCATGCCTCACATTTCAAGCTGCGGGTGGGGAATCATTGTCTGGATCAAACAGAGAAGAGAGCAACATGTATTGTTGTAGTTCACATTTTTTAGTGGTTCATGTGTTAAGCGAACAAAAGATCTTAAAAATCTATGACATTCACCTAAGGCAACGTGATATGCAGTCTAAATGAGATTGCAATGTGATTGGAGAACTTGATTGTTTAGCTGCTGCTTGGATAATTTGGAGAAAATTCCCAACTCAAAAATGTTGACTTAAGAAATGTTTTCCGCGATTATTTTATAAGACGAGCTTAAGCTACAAATTTTGCTTGCTAGTTTTTTTTATTTAACTGGCCTACTAAAGCACATTATCGGAGGCACGAGAGGAACCATCAAACGTCCGTCATCGTCATGGTCATAGCCTTGTGCCAGTTTCCAGTTGCCAGTTGTTTTGATGGCTCGCATCCTGCGCACATCCTGTGCACTCTGTATCGAGTGGGACGAAAGACAAAAGCAAAAAGCCACAACAAGCTTTTTATAAAACAAAACAAAGCAAAAAAATAAACTTTATACAAATACGAATGTTGTTGTATGCATTGCTGTGCCATTCCGCATCCAGTCAGCCAAGTTGCGGCCTTGAATGTGGCTTTTAGCCATTTCCAAGTCCGAGAAAAACGAGATGTTGTCATACCAATGATTGAGTATTGCGTCAGCGCTGTTTGTGTTGTGTTTGTAATTGTTATTTTCGCTACTGCCTCATGTTGCCAATGTTCAGGCGTTCAGAGCGCTATAAATAACAAATTATTAGCCTTACATATACATATACATATACATATACATATATAAATTTGCCTATTTGTACACGAGTGTCTCCACACAAATATCCACGACAAATTGTTGCCGCTCAGCTGTATTTAATAACTCAAATTAAATCAAAGTGCTATGGCAAAAAGCATTTTGAGCAACAAAACAAAAAGTAATTTTCGCCCAACGTGGGGCTCGAACCCACGACCCTGAGATTAAGAGTCTCATGCTCTACCGACTGAGCTAGCCGGGCACCTGAATGCTACATATTTAAAATTCTATCAACATTATTTTAAAAACGCATTGCATTTTATAACGTTAGTGAAATTAGTTTTGGTTTTGAGGCTTTTCTTGGTTCATTTTCACTTATCAGAAAATTCATAACCGGTAGACTCAACCTTGTGCTGCAAATGATGGCCCAATTTTAATGTAGACAATGCAAATGCCAACTTGTTTCCAAATTGGTTAATTAATTAACTAATGAATTGAGTGTGAAACTAATTTGGGCATTTGCATGAAAATTATCTAATTAATATATGAATTTGTATTCATAAAATGTATTGTTCACATTCCATTTACATATTTGGGCTTACAAGACGTTAAGCTCGAAAACTCGAAAACAATTTGGGCTATAAATTGATTTTTTTCCTTCATTTACATTTTCAAATTCAAAAATCCCTCTTCGTTTGTCGTTGGCAAAATAAGTTTGCTGTTGGGTAATTAATAATGCATGTTTGAAGAAATTTAGACTACAAGAGAATACCATTAGCAGCGTTGATTAACAAATGCAGATATGTGATGACATTTGCAGGTCGGCAAATAAGTGGAGCGCATCATCAACAGAACTCGGCTGTCTCGAATCTATTTAAAAGCCAGCGCTACACATGCAAGGATATTCAGTACGCAATGGTTAGTCAGTGCATGGAGAGGCACAAGGCCAGTTGGCGGCTCCAAGTTGAGGATGTGGAGAAGCGCAGTGAGGATTTGAACTGGCTAGAGGAGGTGTGCAAAGAATCGTCGGTGCATGGCATGCCGTATGTAGCACGCCGGGATCTGCACGGGTTGGAACGCATCTTCTGGCTGGCAATGGTCATTGGAGCCGCCTATTATGCGGGATCCACCTGCTATTCGCAGTGGGAGCGCTATCGCAACCATCCAATTGTATACGTCTATGAATACTTATTTGCGCTGCGCTCCTTTTCGCTGGTCGGTGTCACCGTTTGCACCAGGTTTATCCAACTGAATAAAACAGATAAACTGATTAACGAGTATGATGAGGTACACAGTAAAGAAATCTGAATTATAATTGAACTATTTAACAGCATTTGGGGCGTAGATGCCGCCGTTGACATTAAAAAGGCCGAATACTACCACAGCTTTCTCAATGTTCTCAATCATCTGGACTACCGCAATCTAGACACACTGATGCCCTATGTGAATGATACAAGCCTGAAGCATATTAACTTCGTTGATATACTACTTAGTTTACAGGAGGACATTATGCCCAATCCCAACGACCAGCCAGTTGATTATGTGCCCACACTCACCGAAATGGGCCTCTGCCAGACGACAACTCAACTGTCACATCTTGGCAATCCCTATGGCGAAAGGTACGCATACATATTATTTAAATAAATCGCTTGACGTTTTTGTTTTGTTTATTTTATGAAATATTTCTATTTAAATGACTTATGTCTAATGCCAAGTATCTTAGGCACCTATAATCAGAATCTATTAAAGCAAGTAATATAAACGACTTAGTATAATCGGTAATTGAATCAGCCTTTTTTGTGCCTCAAAGCACATCATAACAAAACTCTTAAGCTGGGAGGACATAGGAACCATCAGCCCGACATAAATTCGTAAATTTAAGCAAGAAACATTGAATGGGCAGCAATAAATCTAACTAGGTTGCAGTGCACGAAGTTTCCGAATAATAATAATATTTAATGTCTTACAATATTCTATAATAACAATGGTTAGCATTTCATTTCGTGATTTTCTTTAACTTGAGGATTACCTTTTTGAGCTAACTAACCAACAATTAATTAATATTATTATAATATTGCCTTAATTGGTGTTCGATAACAGCAAAGAGCTAACTGGTCCAAAAGTGCGTATCTGCGATTCGTTTGCCAATTGTCAGATAACATTCAAGCCACCAATTGACGAAACGCTTGTGTTTCTGGTAAGGGAATGTCGAAGAAGAATTGGTTTAAGGTCAAAATGTAACCTCATTAACCATTTAGTATCTACACGACATCTATGAAGTAATGCTGCCGCATGATCGACGAACGGTGGTCTTTCATATGGGCACCGAATACTCCTATGTGCTGAAGGTGTTGCTCAACCCTATCTCGGCAGAAGAGGATGTGCGACAGGTGCCAATCGCCTATCGCAAATGTCGCTACAAAGATGAAAATTATCTGAAGTACTTCAGCGTAAGCGCGCCTGAAAATTTACACATATCAGTTAATCCTATTTGTATCAATTGGCAGGATTATAGTCCCAGTCTGTGTCGCCTGGAGTGTCGTATTAAAGTGGCCCTGAAACTCTGCAATTGCAAACCCTTTTTCTATGCGGTACCAATAAATGAACGCACTTGCAACATCGAGGACATGATCTGTTTGACGCAGCACAAGTGGCTGGATAAGCCATGCGACTGCCAGCCCCTCTGCCGAGAAAATACCTACATCATTACCGAGAAGCAGGGTCAAAGTGGCGTAAGTCCTAATATCATTATAAAAAAGTTTTTCTTTTTAAAAACGGTTAGCTTATCTGCACAGAATGGCGAGCAATATGCTGGTGCGAATTTTGAGCGGACGATTATCATCCAGCTGGATTTGCCCAAAATGGGCATGAAGCGACGTGTCGTCTTCAGCACGGATCAGCTGTTAATGTCACTGGGCGGTGCTATTGGGCTCTTTCTCGGTGCCAGCTTTATGACCGTCTTTGGCCTAATCCAATTGGTATTATACTATCTGGTTGTCAAGTGCAAATGTCAACGGCCAAAAAAGCAACCAATTAAAAGTGTCTAGTACAATACAGAATAAAACAACAAGGATATAATAAGAAAATATTAAACAGTTTATATTTAGGTTAAACACATTTGTTTAATATGTTGAAAATCATGCGCATTTCAAGTAGAAACAAGTTTTCTCGTTTATCGTGTCCGACATTAATGGGGCCTAATGTGCATATGAGTCTGTCTTGAGTGCTACAAAAGCAACAATAAAAACCTTAAGACACACTCGACAGCAATTGTTATGCCCAAAAGAGCATAGACTGAGACAGAAACAGAGACAGCACACATAGATACCAAGGGAGTGAGAGAGGGATGGAAGATAGGAAGCCAGAAAAGTGCCAGCGGTGGCAAAGAAAGCGTCGCTTAAGGCAAATTTCACTTTTGCAACAACAAATTAAGGTTAGCTCGACTAGTAGATGCTCTCCGAAAAAGTACAAGAATAAATCGCTATATATTTCATATTTTTATAAGAGGCAACCAATCTGCAGTTAACAAATTATATGAAAACTATTTAGTATTCAAGATGCTGTCCCTTGACACTAGATTGTTAAACCCCTCTTTACAAAGATGTCATGGTAACAGGGTATAATTATTATGGCGCATTTAACGCCGTTTTGTGTTACACATTCAGTGGCGCCGAGTGGAGTGTCATCCAAATGCGACAATTTGACAAACGGACTGACAACAAGACAGATTCGACGGATTTGCACCAAGCTCGCCGTGTAAGTCGAAAGGAAGTCAGCCGTGCGAGACGCAGCCAACAGAAACAGAGTGAACGAACTTTTAAAATGCGCCACTTGCTTAAAATTTAAAGAAAAACTAACAACAACAACAAGAACAACTAATTTGAAGCTTTTGTTGATGATAAACTTTGGACTCGGACTGTGACTTTGCAGTCCAATTGAAATTAGCCGCCTTTAATTGCAGCTACTTACGAATTCCGTTAGCAACAGATGCTTACTAAGTAGTCAATTAATTCCTATTCGTATTCGTATTCGTATTCATATTTGTTATTTGTATTCGTGCATTTCCAGACTATCCATCCACGTATGTAGTTCGCCTTGACGGTCTGTCCGCATCTAAGCAGCGGGGACGGAGGAATAAATTTGTTCTGGTCTGCTGGCATTTAAGATCTTTGCTATATATATACACCTAAACTAAATCCAGACAAATACACAAACGCAACGAAGCAATTAAGACAGCAACAATAACAATAATCACCATTTTAAGCAAACTAATTTTAGTGCAACTATCGTATTAAAAGTCGAATTGAAGTTTTTAGCAAACTTCATTTTGCCACGCAGCACATTTAAATGCAACACCTACAATTACTCTGACATTTGCATTGGCATTTTCAGCCGCACATAAACAATGATGATTAGTAAACAAGTAACCAAGCGCAGCAGCAGCAGCAGCTGTGGCACACACAAACATACACTGCCACACACTAACACACGTACACACACACACACACAAGTATAAATGGTGCACATGCTTCAAGGCATGTTTCTGCTCTAATTCGCACTCAGGCCAAGAAACAGCAAACACCAAAAACAAGTCGGCAAGCGAACAACGAACTTTTGCACAATTGCGTGGCAACATTTACCAAAATCCAAAAATTTCATATATACAAAAGGCAACCGCCCGCATCCCACAAGTAAAAGAAAGACAGAAAGAAAAGGCTGACAGCTGTCTGCGCCTTTGGCCTGTATATATAGCTGTATCTGTGCCTGTATTCGTATTTCATATCTGTATTCTGTATATGTATTTGTGTCTGCAGCCAAGGTGCGCATAGACAACATAAAACGAGACTGTTGCTGCTGCTGCTGCTGCTGCTGCGAAGATGATGGCATTATAAATAGCAACTGCGGCGCACTTTTATCTTTTGCCACAGAAGTTTGCCTTTTATTTCCATGCTGGGCAAGCACAGCTGACAAGGCGTCGAAAATACCATCAAACAGCCAAAAAACAAAATTGCTGTTCCTTCGTTCAACACCTGTCGACCGTCAAGTCGGAAATGAGCTCCAGGAAGCACATAGATATTACTTACACTTATAAAAACAAATCTCTCTGAAATTTAGAAAACAATCCTTAAAATGAAAAAAAAATTTCTCGTTTTTAGAAATAATTTCCAAGTATAAGAAAACTTTTTCATTACTTTTACTATTTTTACTTTTATATTTTTTTTAAGAAATATTTTCTATTATTAAGAAATGTATTTCTAAAAAGAAGAAAAGCAATCTTTGTTTCTTTGATAAAACCATTTCCAAAATTCAGAGAGATCTATAAAAACACACTCCTTCACAGCCTTCTTTCTAAATTGGAGATAAAATTCACCCTGAAATTAAGAAACACAAATCCTGATTTTTCCACAAACTTCCAATTTTAAAAATTTACTTTCTGAATTATAAGGTAAGAACAGGCTTTGCGCCAAAAGTAAATTTCTAAAGTTCAGGGCAAGTTATTTTTCTGAGTGTAGCTATACAACCAAAATAGAAATGAATGCAGACATTATTATATATGTATGTTATACTGTATTAACTTGGGCAGGCAATAAATTAGTCATGATCTGTGCCTCGAGAGTCGAGCCTTAAGTATTTTGTTATCGGATTAGGCTGACAACAGAGCTTAGGCCAGAAGAAACATCGATTCGGGGCCAAGAAGGCAAAAGCAGGCGCCAAAGGCATTAAGCAATCATGATTCCGTTTTGTTTTTCTACAGGAAACAAAAAGTTTTAATTGCCAAAATGTTACGAGTATTGGGATATATGTCTATATAATTATTCACTTGGAGCGCATTAATTGAAATAGCCATTAAGTAGAGGCCTATGCTCATTTAATAGATACATTTATGTATGAAAGTAGTCGAAGCGAATGGCGTCATGATTGCCATAAATTATTGATAGATACACTGCAATGATACACATAAGTGTAAGAGTATGTGTGTGAATGGATACATGGACTAGCATCGCTAATGTGTTAGAAAACACTAACACGTCCCAGTTAGGGGAATACCCTGTATAAGCTCCTCGACGACTACAGATATGTAATTATTTATTTAAAGATATCGATATCTCATTTCAGTATGTGCAAGACTCAAGTTTTATTTAAAAATTAATAAAATAGTTCGAAGGGATTTCTAATAAAAAGAGATTCAAATTGATATTTTTAATTTATTTCTGTAATTGCTTTGCTATTAAAATCATTGCAATTGATTTGTATTTAACTTTACTTTTATCACTTTATAAACGCACATGAAAATGATTAAAATAAAGACTCAAATTTATATTTCCAATTTCTTTCTGTAATTACTTTCTCATCAAAATCATTACATTTATTTTGAATTTGTTATCGCTATTTTTAACATTTCGTAAATGCTCGATTAAACAGTACTTATAGGGTATTAAAATCAATTAATGATAAAAAGCGAATGTATCTTTTTTTTATTGAATTGAATAGTGCCTGTTCGCGTAGATTAATTGAAACATTTTTGGCATTTTTTTAGCTGCAGACAGCAAGCGAAAAAGGGAGCCAGTCATAAAAATATATATAGAGACAGAGAGATAGAAACCAAAATCAATTAGCCACGTTCTGAAATACTTGGTTATGTGTGTGTGAAGGCTTCGGAGAGAATTGCATGTTATATATACGTATATCTTTTATCGCGTACAGTTTTCGCCATTATTTCCAAGCCAATTGTTTATCTGAAACATTGTTTATTTCGCACACACACACACATACACAGTCGAAAAACACACACTTAACATTGCTGTGACCTTGGCTTTAATTATTTCTGCTCGGTTTGTTTACAAAGCGTTTCATATATTTTTGAACCAAAAACCCAGCATGAGAGTGAGTTCTTGACACACTCAAAACTCAGACAGACAATGCGTCGTCATAGAGCGATTTTTAGTCTAACAAATGCAGCGAAAATGACCTTTTCTCTGATTTATGTTTGTTTGTTGTTATTCGATATGTTTCTCAAGCAAACTAAACAATTGTCACAATTGTCGATTTTGAACACGTGTCCGTTACATTTTGACGAAATAAACCAGAACGAAACTTTCAACTTTTGTCGCTTTAGCTGGAAAACTGTTGAATGGGAAAGCGGCAATTCGTGAGGAAACTCAACTAACGTTTCCTCCTCTCTCTCTCTCCCAACCCAGTTGTATTTCCTTAGAATTACGAACTTCCGCAAAGTGCTTGAAATGTGGTATGTAGTAAATAAATGCAATAACTCACCTTCATATCATTGATTATCTGCTGGAATAGACTGCCCAGCGCAGAATTGTCGCGTTCGAGACTGAGATCCATTTTCGTTTGGGTGTCTTCTTCTTGTCTCCGTCTCTATCTCGGGGTATTCGAGGGGTGTCTTGGGAGGGGTTCTTATCCTACTCCCCAAGTGTAAATGTGTCAATGCAATCGATCGAATTCGTTTTCGTTAGCTTTGCGTAAGCGTTTTCTACTGATTTTTTGATTTCAAATTGGTAATTCGATTGGTGGTTCTGTTTACTCTTCACTCTTTCGCCAAGAAAATCAGCATTTCTTTTAGCTTATTATTTTTGCGTTTTATCGACATTTTATTCGGTTCACGTTCGTTTGTCGGCCGCTTAGAGATTTCGGTAACGCCTGCTAGAAAAGTCGAAAGGTTGAAAATATGTTGATTATAGAGATTTATTAAAATGCTTTGTTTATGTTTATATTTAAGTATGAATCAGTTTTTCAACTCCTTCAGACTCATGTAAAATATTTAAGAGTAAATAATATCGATTAAAACACCTTTTACTTTATTCGATTTCCCCTAAGTAAATTAAATATTTTTATCAACTTTTCTTTGATGGTTTATTCATTTAACAGATTTCTTTTCTTTCAAAAAATGTAAAATTACTTGCAAATAATATCAGTATATGTTGTATAATTATAACTAAGTTTGAGTCACTTCAAGAACTTAATCATTAAACGCCTTCAACTCTCTCTAATATATTTCCTTAGTACACACATAGTAAACAATTTTATCAAGTCCTCGTCAATGATTCATTCGTTTCAACAATCTTCCACTTCCGATTTGTGCTTTATTTGAATACATGCATTTATATGTATATACATATTTAAATGAATGCACATGTGGCACATGTAATAGTAATTCATGTTCCACATGCAACATAAATTTTCGAAATTTGTCTTGGGCGATGTAGTAACGGCCTCGTAAATAATATAATGAATACTAGCCGCACATTTCCAAACAAAATTATTATGCTTAATAATGTTTATTAATAAGCTTTTTCTTACGCTTTGCAAGGCAGGGGCGTTGAGAGAGGAAAGAGCATGTGGTTTTTTTCTCTTTTTCTTATTTGGGCGCATGAAAATCTGACACACACACACAGAGTGAGTATCAAGCATATGTATTTATAAATCAAGTGGTGGGGTCGGGGGGAATCGAACGAAAGGGGAAAATGAAAGCAATGCAATGTGACCCAAATAATGATATCATCGAGTTGTGATTTATATGTTATGTGCGTGTTCGACAAGTGCTTTGGCTCGCCGCGAAGCACTTTAATCATTGCGGGCTAATTGCCCTAATGCAATTGCTAATTGTTAATTGATATGTCAGGCGGCAAGTGTGTGGGATTCTATGTGTGAGTGTGTGTTGCAATGCCAAAGTCAGTGGACAGGAAGTTGCAAGTAGCGTCTTGTTTAGCAGTTATGAGCTATAAGTTGCCAGTTAGGAGTTGCAAGTTATAAGTTAAGAGTTATGAGCATACATAAAAAAATACATTTGCAACTCGTTGGCAGGCAAATGCAACTCGAGTAGTTGACCCATTTTTATTGCGTTTCCCATTTCCAGTTGATACGTGCTTGGTTCTCTTTGGAGAAGCTATCGAATTGAACTGAAACCAAAATCGAAAATATATATAAAATGCAGGGCCAAGCCTTGTGCTACTCTAGCTAGATACATTTGATATTTGAAATGCTGACAAGGCCATGGAAGAAGCTTTGTTTAATGCATACACAACACAGCACACTTCAGACTTGAGGCAAAGTTGAAGTGTCGTTGCTGATTATGATACACTCCGACGGACAGCAACTGTCGGCGGGTTCTGGCCTGGCGGCAATTACAAACAAGATACATAGAGATACACAGATACGCACTCACAAAAGATACAAGTGCTCAGTGTTTTGAAGAGTGAACACAATGCACAATGCACAAATGATAAATGCTAACAACAAAAGCGCGACAACAGCAACAGCAAAAGTGGAAGAGTGCCAGCCAACAACAAAAGCTGATTGCCAGGCCTGGCTGTATCTGTGACGCTGTATGCCTCTCTCGCTCTCTGTGTATGTGTGTGAGTGTGAGTGTGTGTGTGTGTTTGGAAAAGCGCTGTGAAATGCAGCGAGAACAAGTTGAAGAAAACGCGGAGCTGAAAGAGCTGTTGCAGCAACAGCCAGCCAGCCAAGCAGCCAGCGCGTCGCTGGCCAGTGTAAATGACCTCTCAAGATAAAGTTGTTGCCACCAAGCAGCCGCAATGGCGGCAACGTTCTTGCTGCTCTTGTTGACGGAGTTGTTGTTATTGCTGTTGTTGCTATTTGTGCTGCTGTTGCCGGTAGACTTGCAATTTCCGCGAATGCACGGAAATAAGTTTTCAACAACAAATCCAAATGTGGCGCTCGCCTTGAAATTGGAATTGTTAAACAATTATAATTTATAAAGCATTTGACTCTTGGTATTTAAATTACACAGTTTGAAAAACTTTTTTTTTTGTGCCTTTGCACAAGGATGTTGCTAAAATGGAGTTTAAGACAAAATGAAATGCTGTATTACAGCCTGATACCACTTAAAACATTTCTCACATTCCTATTATAATCGCAATTCCATTATTAGTCTGCTTTAGCGGTAACTTGTGAGTGGCAAAATTACCGTTTGAATTATGTAAAACAGCTGTTCGACAAAATTACCATTTGATTTAAAAATCTTTTAAAAACAACTTTTAAAAAAAAGCTTATCGGCTTAGTTACGAAATGTACAACAAAAGAATTTATTTATATATAAGAAAGGCTATATATAAACACTTTTCTTCAAACAACCTAATAAATGGGAAGCAAATTTCAAAATTGAAAAACATTTTATTTTCATTTTGCTTTTAACGTTAAATTATATTAAATTATACATTCAAGAATGTAAGAAATATTGATGCTGAAATCAAGTTCTTAGCTTAGATCGAAAAATATATAATTTAAGAGACTTGGCTTCTGAACATCGACTTAGTTTTGATGGGTTATGAAAATGACAAATTGCTAGAAATAATCAATCGATTGTTATGTATCTAGCTAAAAAAAAAACCTCACAGATACAAATGAAATTGACGCTTTACACATGCATAAATATATAATCTATTCTAAATAAAAGAAGCTGCTGAAAATGTGGTTGAACTAGTAGCGTTGATACCATATCAATTTCCTCTGGAAATTGTGCTCCATTTTGCACTCAGCGGAAGCTTGTCAGAAATAATCATAGAAAACGCTCAACCGCAAAGGCATCGAGAGAAGAAATGCGTCAGCTAAATCTTGTAAATGGACGAGTTGCAAAAGGGCTCAAGCTTGAAAATGGGGGCAAAAGGCATAAGTTGCCAAAGGGCAAAGCAAAGGCAAACAAAGATGAGCAGCGCAACCATCGTAATTGCCAATCACACTGGTCTTGCTCAGGGAGAAAAAGAGAGAGGTCAGGCTGGGAAAAACGTGATGTGATCTACTGCAGCAGACACACAAACAGTCCGACAGACAAACGGACGGACAGCCAGTCAGTCCCAGATTCTTGGCCAGTAGCCAGCAAATTACCAAATCGTGCATAAAACGCCAAACAGGAAAACGACAATTTCGCAAGCAAAAACCGATTTCAAACCAAAGCTGAAGCGACAGCAACAGCCACAATGCAAGCTGGAGTTGGAGTTGGAGTAGAACAGTCAACGAGTTGGGGAAGGGAGTTCAATACGAAGGGAACCCGCATTATTATTCCGCGCCTCACAACACAAATGTCAAGTTGGTTGTTGTTGTGCGTTTTAATTTCAACTATCTACGCATAATTTTCCGCCCTATTTACGTTTGATCTGTGGCTGCAACAACTGCGGCTGTCTGCTCGTAGAGGGGCTCTCTCAACTAAGTGTTGTTGCCATGGCGCCCTGTGAGATTTGCATCTATTGGCAGCGGAAGCTGGATGCCAAGTCAAACCAAAATCAAGCCAAGCCAAGCCAAGGGCTGTGCCTGATACGGCAAATAGATTTGTGTACACGTTTTAGGTATACATTTATAGTTGCATGCCGCACGTTCGTTCATTCCAGTTGAGGGGGTTTGCTTCACTTCGGTTTCTATTACAGGAAGTGACTTGACAGAGTTCGTCTGGCTGCTGGCTGCTGCTTGCAGAGACCCCTCAACCCACTACGACCAACAGCCAGAGTGAACTCCTAATTGCGAGCGAAAGATGTGCGCACACGCACAACTCGAGTATATGTTCTTGTTTATATGGCTGTAATTATGCGTGAATGCGAGTGCGAGTTGAAATGTTATCGACATCGTGCCACTGCAACACTTGCTCGGACTTTCGTCAAAAGGGGGAAGTCATCTAGAATGGACTAGCTTCAGCTGATAAGTGTATACAAAGAAAGAAATTAATTCTGGAATTTACTTGAGCTTCATATTAATAAAACAAATATTAAGTGTGTTATTTTAACAGCAATACTTTAACCCATTAAAACTCAAGATCCTTTAAAACCAAGAAAAAAAAGTTATTATTGAGTGCTTAGTTGCATCTTTAGGTCCTCCTTCTGAGCCTATATCTCTTCCATCAATCCTAATTCTTGCATGAATTCAATAATTTTTGTTGAGTTAAATATATCTATGTCACCTGAGCTTAAGATATACTTCCCATGTTATTAAATTTTCTTCTGTTCCTCCCCCTTGGATATTACTTGCATAAATCACTTCTGATTATAGCAGTCAATTAGCTTGTCTTAGATCTGATAAATCCGCCCAGCTTAATTATCACAGATGTCGCTCTTCGCTTGTGTTTTTTTCGTTTGCCACAATACGATTGAGTTTTTATGTTTTGATTTTTGTTATAAAAAACTGACATGCTAACAATACAAAAAATGTGCATAGAATAGGGGATTTTTGTCAGCCAAACTGCGCAATATAACCAGGAAAATTTGGGTTCTGCTTAGAAATTCATCAATTTGAATACGGTCATTTTATGTGATCAGAAATTAGTTAACAGTTTATGCTAATACCAGGCATGCTTTTACATTAGCAGCGACACTTTAACCGTCTTCTACAGTTACGCGACAATTGAGTAATTAGAAACCACTTGAGCAGTAGAAACTGGAAGAACTCGAAAGCATCTGCATTATATTACAGCCAGCAAACATACCAAACACATTCGACATTCTAATCTAGTGTTGTGCTTTCTCGCTGCCTCATCACACACACAACACACACACAACACACACACAACACACACACAACACACGCACACACACACACACACACACTCAAAGCCCATTAGGTTCGAGCATAAATATACACATATCCAAGAATATTATGATTAGGCTTTGGGTAGAGAAACCAAACTCCTACAGAACAAA